AAACGAACTTCGATCCACACGCGGCAAATTGTTTTTATTTTGAACTAGGGGCATTTAAAATTTGATTAACTTTTTCCGCTGCTGTGAAGAATTTAACTACGTCGCGTGCTGAATGTGACGTAGTTTCAATCCGCCCCTGATGCCGAGCCCCCTCCGAACCGATGCTTTATTAACAAATGTTTGTAAAGACTGTTTGTAAAATTAAAACGCACCTATATATTTCAAAAACATATAGATTCCATATTTTTTAAACCATAGATTGTAAACTCTAGATTTTACCCTTTAAAACAATGACTTTTTGCGCAGTTTGTTTACATGGCCTTTGCGAGGGGACGCCTTTGAAAACACGGCCTTTTTCCCACTACTTTAAAACAATGACTTTTTTTGCACGGCTTTGTTAACATGGCCTTTTGCGGGGGGACGCCTTTGAACCATGGTCTTATTTTGCGCCGATACCCCCATGTCTTATACTACTGGTTTTTTTCTGCAGGTTGTCGAAGCACAGAAAAACGAAGTCATGCTAGTAGTAATCTCATATATTTCAACCGGAGTTCGTGAAATATAATCCGATCAACAGCATGCCAGCATTATTATGATGTGCTCATTACTATCAGCGTCCATAACATGTAAAGTCAATGTAAATTATAGCATTCACCATGCACAACACTAGAGTTACGACATAACATTGCACAAAAACGAATTCACAAAAAAGTAAAATTGGCAGCAATCAATAGTGCAAGTCACGAACCTGTCTTGACGGGAAGTGAAGCACTATTGGTTTAGGGAAATACTTGGCACTAGCGATAAATTAGCGAATGGTTTGAGCCCGGGATTATCGTTGCATGTTTGTAGATGTAGATCGTCCTTGTTAGTAGAGTCTCGAGAAAAACTGTTGGTATTGATATTGAGTGAGGTTTCCGTAGCGGTAGCCTTCTAAAACTGGGACCATGAAGACTCCAAACATGACTACCCCTGAGGTTGTCGAAACATCAGTCAGCACTAACACCAACAGTCGTCGTTAAAACTGCACTAACCAGGACGAACTACTTATACAAATATTTTCGGTACTACTTCGTTTTTCTAATGCTTTGGGCGAGGAATTTTTTTCAAAAGTTGTTTACCATTTCATTAGGTGAATGTTGCAGATCTGCTAAACATCCACGGAAAGAATTGACTGACATAAAGTTTTCTCACAACAGTAGACCCGGACTAGATAATCCATTAGCTATATTCCGAAGTCTATAGTAGAAAAATAACATTTACCTTTGAAAGAAATTCCAGCGTCAAATTTTCCTATTTTAATGAACCATTATTTTTCTTCGTAATTTTTTTTCGTTTTCCCGCAAAGTTTAATTCTGCAAAAAATGAATGAATAAAGTGATCAAAACAAGTGTAATGTTATAGATTTGGCGACTAAAGCAATACATGTCTCCGTGAAATTGCAACAAAAATCTCGACATCGTTCGATCTCATTGGCTAAAAATCAAAAAATGGGTTTTTTACATCAACTTCATAGGTTCCTGCTTAAGAAAAAATAAGGGGATGTTTTTCAAATGAAATGTAGTTTGCTAAGCTTAAAACGTAGTTTAAAACGTAGTTTAAACTTAGTCTAAAACGTAGACGAGCATCAAATTACAATAAATTTCCGAAAACCATTTGCCTTAAATTCTTTCGTAATGATAAACGCATTGTAGACTGTTGGACAGCCAGTGGAGTAACTATCAAAAAATTTTCGGTCACGCTATTGTCAAAGGAGCCACGCCCTATGATGTCATGACTTTCAATATGCAAGGAAGAAGTTTAATGTACAAACTTTAATGCGCAAACAAACAATGTCAATGTTTCTTAGATGTCGATGTAAAATTTACTGTCTTAGTCTAAGATCTCACCTTCACAAATAGTTTAGTTTCCCAGATTTTACATGCAGCAATATTAAGTCCACCCACCATAAAAAAAATCACAGATGAAACAGACGTCGGGATAAATAAAATAACAGAAAAGGAACCATTGCTAACTGCGCACTAATGTTTGAGAAACTCGGTCAATAAAACATATCAATAATTAGAACTATAATTACTTACTATGCTGTGACGGTTGAAACAAACTGCAGTCGGTGAATGGATCGCCTTGTCTCAATTTTCTTAAAAAAATAAAATTATTCTTTAAAACTAGAGATACAAAAATATCAAATAACGTGGTCATCAAAAGGAACAAGACGAAACAAAATGAATTTTATCGATTTTAATGTAGAAGGTGGAAATATTGCTCCGAATCCACAGCAGCACTACGGTAACAAAAAATATTCCCTTTGGTATATGGATAAATTTATTTATAATCCTCTGGCGACTTGTTGCTCAGAAATAAAGTACTTCTTTATCTAATGATATACTTAAATACGACAAAATTGATAAATATGTTTTCTTATAAAGTACGACAACTTTTAAATGACATATATTTAGGAGACAATAAAATTTGATGTCAGCGCCATTAATCAGAGAAGTATCAGTGGCGGGTTGATGCACATTTGACAAGATGGGTGCAGATTTTAAAACTGGGGATGGGGTTGGTGCATTGGTGTCCTGGTTAAAGTTGCATAGCACCTCCAGCTATTGTATGTTTTTAGGCTAAAAGATGAGTTAACCTTGTGTATTGAAACTGTTATTAATTTTTTAAAATAAAATTATATTGTTTTTTTGATGAAAAGCGGTTTTCAGGAGGCTAACTACAGTTACCAAGCAAGGGGACTGGTGACGCTTCGTATGCGCACATTGTGGATTTTTTTACGTAAACGCCTGGCCGCGCTGACTTTATTGAAGATTTTTCGTTTTTCCTTTGGTAAATTTTGTTAAAAGTTTGTATGTATGTTCATTACTACAAAAATTATAAAATACGCAAAATAGAACAAAATCTACTTATAAGTTTTCATGTAAATTCTTAAATATCTCAAAAAATTATTTATAGAATTCTTTCAATGTTAAACATAATGTTCCTTGAATGAATACCAATTGTCACGCAAAAGTCACCAAACGAAAAAAACTACGCTCAATTCTTTTAAAACTAGACAATAAAAGTGTAAAAGAAAATGAGATATGGTTGCCATAGCAACACAAACAGTTATCCAATTCAAGCATCTATAGACTTTACTGGCATTCTTGAATATGCCTGCACAGTCATATTTCTAAAGTTTGAGTGTATTTGATCAAAATAATGTTGCAAGTGAAGGCTACCTGAAACACCCGAATTTCATATGAACTGTAGGAAGCCTGCTTAACTCAAGGAAATTTTATGTATAAATCATAAATCTCAGTTCAGTCAGTTGTACAGCTGTAAAATACTTCTTTGCGCAAAGTCAAAGTCATTCATATGCTAAATCTTAAATTACAAATCAGAGGAGGATTTTCGGATTTTAACGAACGAGGACTTTAACGAACAAAGCTTTTATAAAACATAAATAATAATAAAGTTTTGTAAGGTTCATAATAACGAAGTTAGCAATAAGTACGTTATATATGTTGTGTACAGTTAAACTCCTTCGCAGTTTGTCGTTTTAAGACCTAGACTTCACCCCTCCAATTATATATGTTTCCCCACTGCCGTTTTTTCGACAAAATTTTCGGCAGTGTTGTAAGACGACAAATTTGGTAGCGTCGACGCAACGATAACGAAGTCAATCAGAACAGGAAAATCCAAAAAGCATAAATTATGGAGAAATACAACAGTTCACACAAAACAAACCAGAAATGGCAAACTTAGTTGACACGACAAACTAACAGTTTTCTTTGCACATGGTAGATGCAAATGAGGTAAGTATAACGTCTTACTGTACAATTTTCTTGCCTATAATTGTTTTATAATGATACTCTTCAGAGCTTCAGAGTGCCCTGTCATTTTCAAATCTTTCTGGATGGTCTTAGAAAAGTCTGGGGGATGCACCCCCCTAATAAAAGCATTCCTCTAGAGTATTTAATTTTATGTCTAACTTCTGCTTGGAAAGTATGCTGACATGCTAGGGTCACCAAATTCTTTTTTGGTACAGTCGATTCTTGCTCGAATCGTGCAGTGAACATGCACGAAAATAAAAATTCCATTTCGGTTTAGTTGTTCAAGTAGCATAGATTGGGCTTGAAAGCGTCGTTAAAGCAATAACCATGGCAAAATAGGCGGACATATTGAACTGAACTCAGGCTCACGATGTGGAGATGTCACGCGGAGAAAAATATTTGTTTGAATATCGTTAAAAGTAAGACAGGTGCAAAACAAGCCTTTATTGTAGAAACACGAGTTCAAATATGCAAATAGATGCAGTCAAACAATGATATGCTTAAAATGACCACCTTTTCTGAAATTTATAACATACTTGTGGATTGACGGTTCTTTATAACTGGTAAATTCATCAATCGTACTTCTCCTTTTTGATGTACGTCTTCCAACACACAGAAGAGTGGCAGATGGACTGGTATTGCTGGCAGCAGAATCAGCCGCAAATCGTTTGATTTCACCCTCTAATAAGAAGACAATACGACGATTTTTATTCAGACACGATTGCGATGCGACATTTAAGCGCACTTTCGCGACACAGGTTGGTTTGCACGAGAAAACACTGGGACAAGTTTGGCAAACACAATACTTTCAGGTGCTGTAAAAGTCGGCTATTTTTTTGATTAACGCCAAATGCTTTGAGCCCGGTGGGAGTAGCGTTGATTATTCAGTTTTAGTTCGGTCCCAAGAAGGCTGCTAGTGTTGATGTTGGTATTGCTGAGTTGTTGGTGTTAACTGGTGTATCTGACGTTTCGACAGCTTAAGCAGTAGTCATCTTCAGAGTGAAGTTCCAAAGTAACAAACGTATGCAGTACGAGGATAAAACTAAACTCAGCTATAAGTGTCATCAGCATGTTAAATCCCGATGCTTTTGCACATGCGTACCTTCTGGTATTGACTCCAAGTGATGTTTAGTGAATTCTTCTTTGATGGCGGAGAAATCTGGCAATGTTGTAATCGGGTTTACGTGGTATGAATCGAGCAGAGAACAATCTTCATCCATGTCCGTCTCCTTTGTATCGTCAGAAAAGTCCATGGAACTGACAGACCGTATGTCCGGCGGAGAGTCAAAAACTAAATGAAAACTTACGTCCGCCAATGAAGTATTGAGAGGCTCCGAAATCGTACGACGATCGTCGTATGAGCCTTCAAGAGGGGTAGAGGTGCAACAGGTGGATACTTCATCATGATGTGACGAAGCCATTTCACTATTGTCGGATGATGAGGACGAAGAAGGTGAAGGCGTTAGTCGCGTCAAAGATAGCGCTGCTTCCTGCTCATCTGCATGGACTCATCATTGTCACATGGTGTTTTAAGTGCCTCCCTTAATACGACAAAAACTTTATTTTGGAGTAGAAGATTTGATACTTTTGAATATTGAGCTATAGACTTTTTGAGGTATGGCGTTCGGATTTGTCGAAAGTGAATCTAAAGATAATTACTTCAAGGTCAATGCATGCACATGAACAACTAAAGGTCATAATTTATTGTCTTGTACACTTTGAGCACACTAAAATCTTCGAGCATAGTCTTCAGCTGCCAAATAAACAACACGGAGTTTGTTCTCATCTACACACGTGCTTAAACTTCAAGCACATGCACGTATACAAACAGGAAAGAAGTACATATGAGCATTGTAATCTCTACAAATTCAATTTTAAATCGGATCAAAACCTAGAGATTGAACCCAAACCTGGAGAAGTATACAGTATCAGACAGTTTGATTTTGGTTTCGACCGAAAAATTTAGCAAAAGTGAAATTAAAGCAGTCGTGTTTAGTATTTGATGGAGCACGCTTCCAAAAATCTCCTTACCGTACTAAAAAAGGAACAGAATTAAACAAGAAAGAAGTCTGACATGGTGCAGAAACCAGTAGCCCCCTAAAGCTAATCCAAACTAGAATACCCTTCTTCATTCAAAACCGCGTAGGATCTATTCCCCGGTTTCAATATAGTCCCTCCACTATTAATGAGCTTGCTTATAACTCGGTAACCATATACTACACACATAAAAAAATGCAATTTGCCTAAAGGTAATAAAAACTTAAAATACCCGTATTTCGGAGAGAAGTCTCGATGGTTATCTCCATCTCTCCAATCAATTGTTTGCAAGAATTGAGACACCGATTTGTACGTTTCGTCGAGAAATTCAGAAGATTGCAGTAACTTTTCAAGCGCCCTGTCCAATGTCGGACGCAAATGCCTGCAGAATTTCTGCAACGAAAAGTTAGTTGAACATGTATGATAAAAACGAAGGCGAATTAATGACAGGATTTAGCCCTAATGACCATACTTTGAGTTTTCCCGCGTCAACATTTGTTGTCTGCTGCCTATCTTTCATGCGCTGGAGTTGCGCATCCAGCAAACTGCACTTTTCCATTGACAGGAAATGGTCAGCTTTGGACGAAAAACCTTTCTCTTCAAGTTCTTTGATTCGAGATTTAGCTTTGTCTATTGAAAAAAGAAACATTACGAACATGCCGAACATGTAGAAACGATTACAAACTTAAGGCTCATTTTATGAGATTCACTAGAGCGAGAAACTTCAATTTCTAAACCTAATATATAGAAATATATGTCAGCTGAATTATGAGATTATTATTATTACACCTGGCAATTAGATGAAAAGAATGCAGCCCACCAAAAGCGACATTCATGCAAATGCTAATTTAAGCTATTCATGCCTGTTAGTTTCAAATAGTTGCAAACTTAATCAAGTAAAGGTTAGTCACCAACTCAGCAGAAAAATATACAAATTTAGCTTGTTTGTTATAACAGATAAACCACATTATAACTACTTGTCAAACCAACAATTGTCCGAAAAACCATGCCAGCAAAATCTATTTATAAGCAATTCTTCAGCTGTTTGATCATTCCGCTCATGGCCGTACTTGCAACCAGATCTGGAATTATTGGACAAATCAAGAGTCTGATCGTTATCGATTCAATTCATTCGCACCACTCCGTAATGACAGCAAAGTAAAATGGTTTGTTGATGGCAAAGATTATATGTCTGCCGTTGCTCATGCCATTGAAGCTGCACATAAGGAAATACTGATTACTGATTGGCAAATGAATCCATATATCTTTATGAAAAGGCCTGATAATGGCGTCGACAGTTTGAAATGGCGACTGGATAGGATGTTGATAAGGAAAGCTAGCGAAGACGTTAAAGTGTATATTCTACTTTAATGGGAAACGAAGCAAGCACTCGATCTCGGCAATGATCATACAATTTCAACTTTAAACAAGTACCCCAATATAGTGGTTTATCGTCATCCAAACCCTTTCAACATAATAAAACACTTTTTTATGAAAATACTGTGGAGCCATCATGAAAAACTTATTATTATTGACAGGCGGATAGCTTTTGTAGGTGGTATTGATCTTTGCTATGGTCGTTGGGATACTCCATCTCATGAACTGATGGACGACTATCCGCTTCATCCATGTACTGAGGAACATTGTGAAAATTTGGAAGCAGGTAACACATATGAATGATATCGTTGATGGGTTGGCAAAGATTATAAAAACGAATTTTTTTTAGACGGAAGTAAAATTAATTGGGAAAAGCCCAGTGATGATTATGAATATATTAATAGAAGTCAAATTCCTAGAATGCCATGGCATGATGTAGCGTGTGCGTTTACCGGCGATGCGGTCTCGGATGCAGTAAAGCATTTTCGTCAACGATACTATGCTAAACCCAGTTGGTGCACATGGGGTCTTCCAGATTTGCCAATAGAGCTTGATGTATCGGACAGTAAAGTGCTTGATATCGATGACAGCTTATTCACAAAGGTTAATATTCAAGTTCTTCGTTCTGTTGACAATTGGTCACCTGGACAACCCCACGAAGCCTCCATTTATAACGCTTATCTTAACGCAATTGAAAATGCAGAGAAATACATTTACATCAAGAATCAGTTTTTTAAGTCATCCCAACCAAACGTGGAGAAGCAGATTTAATCGGCTTTGGCGGATCGCATTTATCGTGCCTACATGAATGATGAGGATTTTCACGTGATGATAGTTATGCCTTTGACGTGATGAGTTTGGTCCCGAGGATTGGAAATCAAATGGGCCATTAAATGGTTTAAAAAGACTAAGTTACTTGAACTATGCCACTCTTTTTACGGGGAAGCACTCATTAATATATAGACTGAAAGAGTTGAACCCAGACATTTCAGTGAATAGTTATTTTAGCATCTATGGATTACGAACACACGGCTTGCTGGGCAAGAATATGGTAACTGAAATTATTTATGTGCACAGCAAATTGATGATCGTCGATGATAGAGTTTCTATTATCGGTTCAGCTAACATCAACGACAGAAGTATGCTTGGTGGACGAGATTCGGAGGTGGCTGTCATAGTTGAGGATGTAGAAATGGTCGATGGAAAGATGAAGGATAAAGAATGGAAATATGTTTGTAAATGATGATCGTCCAGGTTAATAAAGTCCTGAGAAGGACTGTTTTTGTTGTTGTTGACTGACGTTTCGACAACCTTAGCGGTAGTCATCTTCAGAGTCAAATGAGGAGTAAACGTCAGGTTAGCCGTATTTGTTTTCTGGTTCTTACGTCATTGTATTGTGTGTACAGGAAATGTGCAGGAAATGTGTATTGTCTTTGTGGATTAGTGTGAAGTGAAATATTTTATTTTTAGTTGTGATGTGTGATTTAGGTATGACGTTTTTAGTTGTAATGTGTGGATGTCAATTGTGTATTGTCATTGTGAATTAGTTTGAAGTGTAATGTTTTTAGTTGATCGTTTGTTTGTATTGTGAATAAGTCGTTTGTAAGGTGCCGGTAATTGCTGTGATCTGTTCAGGGGGGGTTTGTTCCAAGTTGGTATACCAACTTTCTAATGTAAGCCGTTGTCTATAGTCAGTACTGTAAGTGATGCATTTTGCCGAGTCCCAGTCAATGTTGTGCTTTGTGATTCGGTGATGTTCGGCAATGTGATTAGTTTTGTCTTGTTTCTTAGTAGCTCGTTTGTGTTCAGTAAGTCTTATGTTTAAGTTCCTGCCAGTTTCTCCGATATAGGAGGCGTGGCAGTCGGAGCAGTTTATTTTGTAAACTGCACCTTGTCGTTCGTTGGGTTGTTCTTTGTCCTTTATGTTCGTTAATACTTGTCGTAACGTTGTGATTGGTTTATGTGCGACACGTATGTTGTATGGTCGTAAGATACGCGAGATAGTCTCAGACGTACCTTTGATGTAAGGTATCGTTGCTGTTGTCACTGTGTTGTTCGTTTCGTTGGGTTCGTTGGGTTTGTAAGTGTTGCGTTTGATAAAGTCAGAGTTATAGTTGTTTTTTGTCAAAAACACGTTTGAGATAGTTGTTTTCGTTTTGTAGAGCGTCCGGTGAATCACATATGATTTGTGCACGTCTTGTTAATGTTCTGATTGTGGTGGCTTTGTGTGATGTAGGGTTGTAAGATGATTGGTCTAGTAGTCGGTCAGTATGTGTTGGCTTGCGATAAACTGTTGTTCCTAGTTTTTGATTGTCATGTTTTACCAAACAGTCGAGAAAAGGAAGAGTTCCGTTTTCTTCGACATCTTTGGTAAATTGTATGTGGCTGTTCTGTTTGTTGATGTGAGTATGGAAGTCATCAATCTCGTCTGCATGTAGTGCTGTGATTGTGTCATCTACGTAGCGAAACCAAAAAGGTAGTGCATGTTTGTAAGTCATGAGTGCCCGTTCCTCTATAGATTGCATTACAATTTCAGCAACTACAACAGAAACGGGCGAGCCCATTGCTGTCCCATGTAATTGTTTGTAGTGTGTTCCTTTGTATTGGAAGTAAGTCGAGGTGAGGCAGAGCTCTAGTAACTCCATAATGTCTTCTGTCGGTAATGGCAGTACGTCCGTGGTGTTTGTAATGAGGGTTTTTGTACAAGTAAGTGCCAGATTAAGTGGAATACTGGTGAACAGTGATTTCACATCAAAAGACACTAGTATATAGTTGTCCGGTATTTGTATAGTGCACAGTTTTTTAATGAAAGTTTCAGTGGATTGTAGCTTGTGTTTTGATTTGTTTGTAAGTGGTTGCAGTATGTTAGTCAAGTACTTTGAAAGTTCGTAAGTAGGCGAACCACAGAATGATACAATTGGTCGCATGGGTATTTGTGGTTTGTGAAGTTTTGGTAGTCCGTATAGTCTGGGTGGTCGTGGTACTGAACATCTGAGTCGATAGTAAATACGTTCAGATATAATGTTAGATTTTCTCATAGAGAAGATCTTGCTGTTAAGTTTGCGTACTAGTGATGGTGTTGGGTCTCGTTTGAGTTGTTCGTACGTTTGTCTGTCGTTAACAAGTGCGTCCATTTTGTTAAAGTAATCATTCCTGTCCATGACCACAGTCACGCGTCCTTTGTCTGCTGGTAAAATGACGATGTTGTTGTCGTGTTTTAGTCGTTTGAGTGCTTGTTGTTCGTCTTTTGTCAAGTTGTTGTCACGTATAGAGGACGATTGTAAAGTGGAGGCTATCCTGCTTCTGATCTCGTCTTTGGTTGTCTCTGACAAGTCTCTTTGATACGCTAGGACAGCCTCGACACTTGATACTATCGTCTCAGTCGGGATTTGTCTAGGTGTTATGGAATGTTTTAGTCCGTAAGATAGTAGTCGCGTTTCAGTTTCGTCTAATGGGCGGGAAGAAATATTCCTCACCCAGTTATCGTCATGTTTATGTCTTGCACGTGTTTTAGTTTGTTTTAAACGTTCAAGTCTTTGTTGTTGTTTGATTTGGTGTTGTGTCTCTGTCTTGTTTGCTCGTTTCTCTGCAATAGTTTGTATGGTAGAAAGTAAAGTATCACTTACTGTCGTTGGTATGAGTTCCTTCAGTTTGTTCAGTCTTTGCTCTTGTTGTTTGATGTAATAGTTGATTCGTCTGTGACAGTCGTTAATTCGTGCTCGTATCAGTCGTCTGCTGGCGGATTTGACAATCTGAGTAGCCTCTTGTGTGTTCAACGGAGACTTAATTCTAAGTCCTGCCGGAACGAGACCAAAATCCTTGCAGCGGTGGTTGAACCAGAGTTGTTGGCGTATGCGTCTGACGTTGCTTGCAAAACGTATGTAGTCGTTAGCAAGTTGTTCGCTCTGTCGTCCAAATGATCGTAATAAAGTAAATGGTTTGAGCCCGGGAGTATCGTTATATGTTTGTAAATGATGATCGTCCAGGTTAATAAAGTCCTGAGAAGGACTGTTTTTGTTGTTGTTGTTGTCGAAACGTCAGTCAACAACAACAAAACAATCCTCAGGACTTCTTAACCTGGACGATCATCATTATAACGATATTCCGGTTCAAACCATTACTGATAAAGAATGGAAAGTTGGAAAGTTTTCACATTCCTTAAGATGTCGTCTTCACAAGGAACATTTGGGGCTTTTGAACACGGAAAATATAGTAAATAGCTCGAACAAAGTGTAGGATCGTTTGTTGAAATCATTTATTACAGTAATATTCGAACAAGCTAGTTTTAATATGATAACATACGAGAGGGTGTTTCGTAAAGGAATATTACCGAACAATCAAGTATGGAATTACGAGGATCTAGACAACTGAAAAAACATGCTGGGTCTTATTGATATTGATCAAAAGGGTGTCATGGAGGAGCTGCAATTTATTCGTGGAAATATCGTTACTTTTCCAAGTCTTTTTTAAAGGATGAACTGAACTCAGCAGTTGTTGACATATTTAATCTGTATGTATCCGCCAAAGGAGATAAGAGGAAGATTCCGAATAAAAATCAAGAAATAAATGTTTGATGGAATAATGAATCCAAATTACAGCAAACATGTGAGCAGAAGTAAAAGAAGAAATACATGTTGTTTAACCAGGATTTTGCTGAGTTTTTTTTCCAAGACAGCTTACCCCCTAGCATATATATATAGTGGCGGAAGCTCAGGAGAAAAATCATCACCATTGATAAATATATGCATGTCGTATACTTTGCTTTATAAAATACCAATAAATCTTCATGCACATACACTTTCAGTAAAAGCTAACATTTTGAGGTTGATTGGCTTAGCTTGGTCAAACCTATGTAACGTCTTGTAATTTGGTTTTCTTGCAAAGGTTTCTATGCCTGTATTAAAGCACACTCACACTCACTGAGTGCGACAAAAAACTCACACTCTCTCTAAACTTTGGCAAAGTCCTTTTTTCAATCATGGCTAGAGTTTTTCTAAAATGTTTCAAATTAAGCAAGCAATGGAATGAAAATGCCGCCTTTAAATAATTATGAGGTGATTTTAAAGCACCACTACGTGAGTGTGAGTTTAAGTGAGCTTTTATAATACGGACGTTATTCAAGTTGTATCTCTTACTTATTTTATTTGAGTGACAATTTGAAAGACACTATAAATGAAAAATAAAACCACAACTCAGAGGACACCTGTATCACTCCCTTGAAATCCGACTGGCGAAAGAGCAAAAATATAAACGAATGCAAAGAGCTTTTGTTCATATGCTGAGTAATCACATCTTCTTTAGTCTTTACTCATGCTCCTGCAGAGCAGTTGAAAAAGACCGGAGCCCACCAAGAGCGACAAAAACATGCTAATAAAAGCTTTTCGTCGTTTGAAATGTTTGCACACACAACAAAATAAATACTTGCCACCACGTCACCAGAACGATTTATTCCATAACCTTTTAGATACATGCACCGCATTTGCTTGACGTCAAATACTGGTCGAAATAACAATTGCCTGTATAACCATGTTGGTACAATCATGTTTAAAGCAGTTCTTGCCGTTCTTGACGACATTAGTCTTGCCGCTCCTGGCAGCCATTCTTGTACACACGATGCGGATTGTTTGGACATATCAAAAGCCTCATCGGTATCGATTTGATTCATTCGCACCACTCCGTAATGACAGCAAAGTAAAATGGTTTGTTGATGGCAAAGATTATATGTCTGCCGTTGCTGATGCCATTGAAGCTGCGCACAAGGAAATACTTATTACTGATTGGCAAATGAATCCCTATATCTTTATGAAAAGGCCTGATAATGGCGTAGACAATCTGAAATGGCGACTGGATAAGATGTTGATGAGAAAAGCTAGCGAAGACGTTAAAGTGTATATTCTACTGTACTGGGAAACGAAGGTAGCACTCGATGTCGGCAGTGATCATACAATTTCAACTTTAAACAAACACCACAATATAGTGGTTTATCGTCATCCACACCGTTTCAACATATTAAAACACTTTTTTACGAAAATACTATGGAGCCATCATGAAAAACTTATTATTATTGACAGGCGGAAAGCTTTTGTTGGTGGGATTGATCTTTGTAATGGTCGTTGGGATACTCCATCTCATGAGCTGATGGACGACTATCCGCTTCATCCATGTACTGAGGAACATTGTGAAAATATGAAAGCAGGTAACACATATGAACGATATCGTCGATGGGTTGGCAAAGATTATAAAAACGAATTTTTTTCAGACGGAAGTAAAATTAATTGGGAAAAGCCCAGTGATGATTATGAATATATTAATAGAAATCAAATTCCTAGAATGCCATGGCATGATGTAGCGTGTGCGTTTACCGGCGATGCGGTCTCGGATGCAGTAAAGCATTTTCGTCAACGATACTATGCTAAACCCAGTTGGTGCACATGGGGTCTTCCAGATTTGCCAATAGAGCTTGATGTATCGGACAGTAAAGTGCTTGATATCGATGACAGCTTATTCACAAAGGTTAACATTCAAGTTCTTCGTTCTGTTGACAATTGGTCAGCTGGGCAACCCCACGAAGCCTCCATTTATAACGCTTATCTTAACGCAATTGAAAATGCAGAGAAATACATTTACATCGAGAATCAGTTTTTTATCTCATCCCAACCAGACGTGGAGAATCAGATTCAATCGGCTTTGGCGAATCGCATTCATCGTGCCTACAAGAATGGTGAGGATTTTCACGTGATGATAGTTATGCCTTTGAAACCAGAATTTGGTCCCGAGGATTGGAAATCAAACTGGCCATTAAATGGTTTAAAAAGACTAAGTTACTGGAACTATGCCACTCTTTTTACGGGGAAGCACTCATTAATATATAGACTGAAAGAGTTGAACCCAGACATTTCAGTGAATAGTTATTTTAGCATCTATGGATTACGTACACACGGCTTGCTGGGCAAGAATATGGCAACTGAAATTATTTATGTGCACAGCAAATTGATGATCGTCGATGATCGAGTTTCTATTATCGGTTCAGCTAACATCAACGACAGAAGTATGCTTGGTGGACGAGATTCGGAGATGGCTGTCATAGTTGAGGATGTAGAAATGGTCGAGGGAAAGATGAAGGATAAAGAATGGAAAGTTGGAAAGTTTTCACATTCCTTAAGATGTCGTCTTCACAAGGAACATTTGGGGCTTTTGAACACGGAAAATATAGTAAATAGCTCGAAGAAAATACAGGATCCTTTGTTGCAATCTTTTATTACAGAAATGTCTCAACAAGCTGATAAAAACACTGAAATTTACGAGAAGGTGTTTGGCAGGAGAATATTGCCACAAAATGAAGTGAGGAATATGGACGACCTCAAAAAATGGATGCAGGAGAAAGGTCTTGTCCACAATGATGAAAAGCTTGCTAACGAAGAACTGAAAAAAATTCATGGACACATCGTTACGTTCCCAGGTCTTTTCTTAATAGATGTACTTAGCTCTTCAATAGTTGACAAGACTGGAGTATATAGAACGGCTGAGTAAACGTGCATGTAAAATTAGCGAAATGCGCGAAAATTCAACAGATCAATTCCGGCTTGGCACATTCACTAGCTGTTAAGATATGAACATCAAACGAAAAGACATAAGCAACATAGCATTGCGTGCATAATTAAGGAGATATGACATATGTCAGATTAAATAATATTCGTACTTGTTATTGTAATATCGTTGTTCGCTGATATTTAACTTGTTGTTTGTTCCACAAAAAAGTCATAATAATTTCACGTACAATCCGAATGTTATTGCCGAATCACGAATAATTTAACAGGTTATGGGCCCAGGAGCGTTTGAGTTTCTGTTGATGATAGCAAATAAGGAAAGTATATAAGATATCGCGATATTATAAGAATACATAAGTGCGAAATATTGAATATGTGGACTTTGGGAAATAACGAAGCGTTTACACGGATGGAAAAGATCAACGGCAAGAACTTTCACCTTTGGAAGTTTAAGATGCAGATGATAATTGAAGAGAAGGATCTCTGGCAAATAGTTATCGGCGATGAGGTAGAACCTAATGGTGATAAACCTCAAAGTATGGTCATGAAGGCTAAATCCTGTTATTAATTTGCCTTCGTTTTTATCATACATGTTCAACTAACTTTTCGTTTGCAGAAATTCCTTCATTTGCGTCCGACATTGGACAAGGCGCTTGAAAAGTTACTGCAATCTTCCGAATTTCTCGACGAAGCCTACAAATCGTTGTCCAAATTCTTGCAAACAATTGATTGGAGAGATGGAGATAAACATCAAGACTTTTCTCCGAAATACGGGTAATTTTTATTACCTTTAGGCAAATCTCAATAATAGACGGGAGCATATAGAAACAAAGAATAGATCCAACGCGGTTTGAAAGAGCTTGAAGTCGTGGGGAGGTCGAATGTATAGTGGGAGAGGGGAGGGAGGGGGAGTGGACAGGGGGTTACTGCTGTAGCATTCTTAAGATAACAAAATCTAAAAACAACACAAGACAAAACGTCGAAAGGTTTTTAATTCAAAATGTAAATTATCATCGCAAAATAAAATACGGAATACGGAGATCAACCGTGATGTATTCACTCACTAATTCTTCCCAAGTAAGGCAGAGTTCAAACTGCATCCTAAAATATTACGGTCTGGCCCAAACTCCGCTCTTCTCTTTGAAGAAGAAGATACAAATGCCATTTTAAACTCTGACGGTATGCTGGCGAACCAGATACATCAAATGGAAACGATCGCTTCCAGTTCCAAATAGCTTTTTATGAAAATTGAAAATCAAGGTCGGCACTGGAAAGATCAACATCGAGTTTTAACGCAAGCGCGCTTTTGCACGTATAGAAGTGGCAAAGACAATCCGATTTTTTCAATTTTATCGTGCAATGCAACCTTTTTTTATCAATAACAAAAATAATAATTACCGAAACTTGTCTCCGCACAAAGATATAAAGATACTCTTAGATTCTCTTAATCGTGCTTAAAAATTGCCACATTCAAAGCGGGAGTAAAACTCGGCCTGACCTCGCCAGTGATATATCGTATCTCGACCAGTAGCTTCATGGCCATCTCAACAGGCTTATCGAACGACATTCATCCTGCCTAAATAAATCAAAAACAAACTTTTACCTTCTTTTTCCAAAACGCGGTCCTCCTTAGTATTATGAACAAAACCTAGTGACAAACAAGGACGGCTGATTTCATCGTAAGTTACAGTGCAAGTTCATACGATGATTTGGCAAATGATCTTTTTTTCCTCGGTCCACTCCGATAGGTCAAGAACACTGGCGCAGGAGATGAATACATGCACTTTTCATTCATACAAAAGTTCCGTAAAGCCGTCATAGTTAAAATCGCGCTCTTATATTCCAATCACACAAGGGCTAATGACCTCGGGTACAACTGGGGTCATACGAGTGAACGAATGGAGAAATATGTGAGATTACCAGTGGTATGACTTCGCTTTACCGCGCTACAGACCACGCTTTAAAACCAGGAAATCCTCTGTGTGGAGCTTGTACCATTGCTAAAGCTACGTCCTTCCCATAATAATTACGTGACTCTTTTACCGTGTGCTTCGGACGTAAACAGGTAAGTCTTTGTGACTAAATATTTCACGTTTTTGTATGGTTTTTTTCTGCAGGTTGTCGAAGCACAGAAAAACGAAGTCATGCTAGTAGTAATCTCATATATATCAACCGGAGTTCGTGAAATATAATCCCATCAACAGCATGCCAGCATTATTATGATGTGCTCATAACTATCAGCGTCCATAATATGTAAAGCCAATGTAAATTATAGCATTCACCATGCACAACACTAGAGTTACGACATAACATTGCACCAAAAAAAAATTCGAAAAAAAGTAAAATTGGCAGCAATCAATAGTGCATGTCACGAATCTGTCTTGACGGGAAGTGAAGCACTAATGGTTTAGGCAAATACTTGGCAACAGCGATAAATTAGCGAATGGTTTGAGCCCGGGATTATCGTTGCACATTTGTAGATGTAGATCGTCCTTGTTAGTAGAGTCTCTCAGAAAAACTGTTGGTATTGATGTTGAGTGAGGTTTCCGTAGCGGTAGCCTTCTAAAACTGGGACCATGAAGACTCCGAAGATGACTACCGCTAAGGTTGTCAAAACATCAGTCAAAACTAACACCAACAATCCTTATGAAGAATGTTTTATAAAGTGCGGTGTTTGAAATTAAATGAAGATATGATCTTTGCACTTTGCTGGACAGTTTAAGCAATTGTCTCATGAACCTGAAAAATTCAGGTGACTTAACGGGATGAGACAATTGCTTAAATTGTCCAGCAAAGTGCGAAGATCAATATCTTCATTTAATACCAACAATCCTTGTTAAAACTGCACTAACCAGGACGAACTACTTATACAATTATTTTCGGTACTACTTCGTTTTCTAATGCTTTGGGCGAGGAATTTTTTTCAAAAGTTGTTTACCATTTCATTAGGTGAATGTTGCAGATCTGCTAAACATCCACGGAAAGGGTTCACTGGCATAAAACTCTCTCACAACAGTAGACCCGGACTAGATAATCCATTAGCTATATTCCGAAGTCTATAGTAGAAAAATAACATGTACCTTTGAAAGAAATTCCAGCGTCAAATTTTCCTATTTTAATGAACCATTATTTTTCTTCGTAATTTTTTCGTTTTCCCGCAAAGTTTAATTCTGCAAAGATGAATAAATAAAGTGATCAAAACAAGTGTAATGTTATAGGTTTGGCGACTGCAGCAATACATGTTTGCGTGCAATTGCAAGAGAATTCTCGACATCGTTCCATCTGATTGGCTAAAAATTAAAAAATGGGTTTTTTTCATCAACTTCATAGGTTCCTGCTTAAGTGAAAAATAAGGGGATGTTTTTCAAATGAAATGTAGTTTGCTAAGCTTAGTCTAAAACGTAAACGAGCATCAAATTACGATAAATTTCCGAAAACCATTTGCCTTATATTCTTCGTAATGATAAACGCATTGTAGACTGTTGGACAGTCACTGGAGTAACTATCAAAAAATTTTCGGTCACGCTATTGTCAAAGGAGCCACGCCCTATGATGTCATGATTTTCAATAAGCAAGGAAGAAGTTTAATGTACAAACTTTAATACGCAGACAAACAACGTCAATGTTTCTTAGATGTCTATGTAAAATTTACTGTCTTAGTCTTAGATCTCACCTTCACAAATATTTTAGTTTCCCAGATTTTACATGCAGTTATATTAAGTCCACCCACCATAAAAAAATCACAGATGAAACAGACGTCGGTATAAATAAAATAACAGAAAAGGAACCATTGCTAACTGCGCACTAATGTTTGAGAAACTCGGTCAATAAAACATATCGATAATTAGAACTATAATTACTTACTATGCTGTGACGGTTGAAACAAACTGCAGTCGGTGAATGGATCGCCTTGTCTCAATTTTCTTAAAAAAAATAAAACTATTCTTTAAAACAAGAAATACAAAAATATTAAATAACGTGGTCATCAAAAGGAACAAGACGAAACAAAATGAATTTTATCGATTTTAATGAAGGCAGTGGAAATATTACTCGAATCCACAGCAAAACTACGGTAACAAAAATATTCCCTTTGGTATATCGATAAATTTATTTATAATCCTCTGGCGACTTGTTGCTCAGAAATAAAGTAGTTCTTTGTCTAATCATATACTTAAATACGGCAAAATTGATAAATATGTTTTCTTATATAATAAAAGAGAATTTTAAATGACATATATTTAGGCGACGATAAAATTTGGTGTCAGCGCCATTAATCAGAGAAGTATCAGGGGCGGGTTGATGCACATTTGACAGGATGGGTGCAGATTTTCGAAGGGGGGTGCATCGGTGCCCTGGCTTAAAGATGAGTTAACCTTGTGAAATGAAACTGTTATATTGTTTTTATTGATGAAAAGCGGTTTTAAGAAGGCTAACTACAGTTACCAAGCAAGGGGCCTGGTGACGCTTCGCATGCGCATATTGTGCTCATGTCGAGTGGATTTTTTTACGTAAACGCCTGGCCACGCTGACTTTATCGAAGATTTTTTCGTTTCTCCTTCGGCAAAATTTGTCAAAAGTTCGTGTGGATGTTCATTACAACAAATATTATAACATACGCAACATAGAACAAAATCTACAAATAAGTTTTCATGTAACCGAAATTCTCAAATATCACAAAGAAATATTTATACAATTCTTTCAATGTTATACATGTTCCTTGAATGAATAAAAATCGTCACGCAAATAATGAGAAAAAGTCACCAAACGAAAAATAACTACGGTCAATTATTTTAAAACTAGACAATAAAAGTGTAAAAGAAAATGAGATATGGTTGCCATAGCAACACAAACAGTTATCCAATTTAAGGATCTATAGACTTTACTGGCATTCTTGAATATTCTCGAACAGTCATATTTCTAAAGTTTGAGTGTATTTGATCAAAGTAATGTTGCAAGTGAAGGCTACCTGAAACACACGAATTTCAGATGAACTGTAGGAAGCCTGCTTAACTCAAGTAAATTTAATGTATAAACCATAAATCTCAGTTCAGTCAGTTGTACAACTGTAAAATACTTCTTTGCGCAAAGCCAAAGTCATTCATATGCTAAATCTTAAATCACAAATTTGAGGAGGATTTTCAGGGGTGGACTTTAACGAACAAAGCTTTTATATAAAACATAAATAATAATAAAGTTTTGTAAGGTTCATAATAACAAAGTTAGCAATAAGTACGTTGTATATATTGTGTACAGTTAAACTCATTTCGCAGTTTGTCGTTTTAAGACCTGGACTTCATCCCTCCAATTGCAAATGTTTCCCCACACTGCCTTTTTTTCGGCAAAATTTTCGGCAGTGTTGTAATACGACAAATTTTGTGGCATCGACGCAACGATTACGAAGTCAATCAGAACAGGAAAATCCAAAAAAGCATAAATTATGCAGAAATACAACAGTTTAGACGAGACAAACCAGAAAAGGCAAACTTAGTCGACATGACAAACTAACAGTTTTCTTTGCACATGGTAGATGCAAATGAGGTAGTATAAAGTCTTACTGTAAAATTTTCTACCCTATAATTGTTTCATAATTATACTCTTCAGAGTGTCATGTCATTTTCAAATCTTTCTGGATGGTGCTAGAAAATTCTGGGGTATGCTCCCCCCTAATAAAAGTGTTCCTCTAGAGTGCTTAATTTTTATGTTTAACTTCTGCTTGAAAAGTATGCTGACATGCTGCGGTCACCAAATTTTTTTTGGTACAGTCGATTCTTGCTCAAATCGTGCAGTGAAAAGAAAAATCCCATTTCGGATTAGTTGTTCAAGTAGCATAGATAGGGCTTGAAAGCGTCGTTAAAGCAATAACCGTGGCAAAAATAGGCGGAAATATTGAACGGAGCACAGGCTCACGATGTGGATATGTCACGCGGAAAAAATATTTATTCGAATGTCGTTCAAAGTGAGAAATGTTTTGTCACCGGTGCCAATGGCGCAGCTAGCCCGCAAGTTTAGGACCTGCTATGTAAATTTTACATCATTAACATTATTTTTATTCTTATTTCTTTAGAAATCTGTTGTTTATACATTGAGTGAACACAGAAAAATTAACATAGCAAGACCAAATTTTCGAACTGGCTACACCACTGACCGGTGCAAAACAAAGCTGTATTGTAGAAACACGAGTTCAAATATTCAAATGAATGCAGTCCTACAATGTCATGCTTAAAATGACTATCTTTTCTGAAATTTAAACATACTTGTGGATTGACGGTTCTTTATAACTGGTAAATTCATCAATCGTACTTCTCCTTTTTGATGTACGTCTTCCAACACACAGAAGAGTGGCAGATGGACTGGTATTGCTGGCAGAAGAATCAGCCGCAAATCGTTTGATTTCACCCTCTAAAGAAAAGACAATACGACGATTTTTATTTCGATACGGTTGCGATGCGACATTTAAGCGCACTTTCGCGACACAGGTTGGTTTGCACGATAAAACACTGGGAGAAGTTTGGCAATCATAATATTTTCAGGTGCTGTAGAAGTCGGCTGCAACTTTAATGTTGAGTGTAAGTTGTGATATTTTTTTCATTAACGTAAAGTAGCAAGCCGAATGCTTTGAACCGGAAGGGAGTAGCGTTGATTGTCCAGTTTTAGTTCGGTCCCAAGAAGGCTGCTAGTGTTGATGTTGGTATTGCTGAGTTTGTTGGTGTTAATTGGTGTATCTGAGGTTTCGAAAGCTTAAGAAGTAGTCATCTTCAGAGTGAAGTTCCGAAGTAACAAACGTACGCAGTACGAGGATAAAACTAAACTCAGCTATAAGTGTCATCAGCATGTTAAATCCTGATGCTTTTGCACAGGCGTACCTTCTGGTGTTGACTCCAAGCGATGTTTGGTGAATTTTTCTTCTTTGATGACGGAGAAATCTGGCGAGGTCGTGATCGGGTTTATGTCGTATGAATCAAGCAGAGAACAATCTGTATCCATATCCGTCTGCTTTGTATCGCCAGAAAAGTCCATGGAATTGACAGATCGTTTGTCCGGCGGAGAGTCAAGAATTAAATGAAAACTTACGTCCGCCAATGAAGTATTGAGAGGCTCCGAAATTGTACGACGATCGTCGTATGAGCCTTCAAGAGGGGTAGAGGTGCAACAGGTGGATACATCATCATGGTGTGACGAAGCCATTTCACTATTGTCTGATGATGAGGAAGACGAAGGTGAAGGCGTTAGTCGCGTCAAAGATAGCGCTGCTTCCCTGCTCATCTGCGAGGACTCGTCTTTGTCACATGGTGTTTTAAGTGGCTCCTTAATAAGACACAACTTTATTTTGGAGTAGAAGATTTGATACTTTTGAATATTGAACTATAGTCACTTTGAGGTATGGGCGTTCATCGCGAAAACAGATAAGTCGAAAATGAACTTTAAAGATAGTTACTTCAAGGTCAATGCATGCACATGAACAACTAAAGGTCAAAATTTATTGTCTTATACACTTCGAGCACAATAAAATTATCTAGCATAGTCTTCAGCTGCCAAATAAACAGCAAGGAGTTTGTCCTCATCTACACACATGCCTAAACTTCAAGCACATGCACGTATACAAACAGGGAAGAAGTACATATGATCATTGTAATCTCTACAAATTCAATTTTAAATCGGATCAAAACCTAGAGATTGAACCAAACCTGGAGAAGTATACAGTATCAGACAGTTTGATTTTGCAGACAGTTTGAATTTGGTTTGACCGAAAAATTTAGCAAAAGTAAAATTAAAGCAGTCGTGTTTAGTATATGATGGAGCACGCTTCCAAAAATCTCCTTACCGTACTAAAAAAGGAACAGAATTGAAGGAGAAAGAAGTCTGACATGGTGCAGAAACCAGTAGCCCCCTAAAGCTAATCCAAACTAGAACACCCTTCTTCATTCAAAACCTCGTAGGATCTATCCCTGGTTTCAATATAGTCCCGTCCACTATTAAAAGCTTGCTTATAACTCGGTACCCATATACTACACACACAAAAATGCGATTTGCCTAAAGGTAATAAAATTTAACGTACCCGTATTTCGGAGAGAAGTCTCGATGGTTATCTCCATCTCTCCAATCAATTGTTTGCAAGAATTGAGACACCGATTTGTAGGCTTCGTCGAGAAATTCAGAAGATTGCAGTAACTTTTCAAGCGCCTTGTCCAATGTCGGACGCAAATGCCTGCAGAATTTCTGCAACGAAAAATTAGTTGAACATGTATGATGAAAACGAAAGCGAATTAATGACAGGATTTAGACTTAATGACCATACTTTGAGTTCTCCCGCGTCAATATTAATTGTCTGCTGCTCATCTCTCATGCGCTGGAGTTGCGCATCCAGCAAACTGTACTTTTCCATTAACAGGAAATGTTCAGCTTTGGACGAAAAACCTTTCTCTTCAAGTTCTTTGATTCGAGATTTAGCTTTGTCTATTGAAAAAAGAAACATTACGAACATGCCGAACATGTAGAAGCGATTACAAACTTAAGGCTCATTTTATGAGATTCACTAGAGCTAGAAACTTCCAATTTCTAAACCTAATATATAGAAATATATGTCAGCTGAATTATGAGATTATTATTATTACACCTGGCAATTAGATGAAAAGAATGCAGCCCACCAAAAGCGATATTCATGCAAATGCTAATTTAAGCTATTCATGCCTGTTAGTTTCAAATAGTTACAAACATAATCAAGTAAAGGTTAGTCACCAACTCAGCAGAAAAATGATAATGGCGTCGAAATTCTGAAATGGCGACTGGATAAGATGCTGATAAGGAAATCTAGCGAAGACGTTAAAGTGTATGTTCTACTGCACTGAAAAACGACGCGAGCACTCGATCTCGGCAGTGATCGTACAATTTCAACTTTAGACAAACACCCAAATATAGTGGTTTATCGTCATCCAAACCCTTTCAACGTATTAAAACACTTTTTTACGAAAATACTGTGGAGCCATCATGAAAAACTTATTATTATTGACAGGCGGATAGCTTTTGTAGGTGGTATTGATCTTTGCTATGGTCGTTGGGATACTCCATCTCATGAACTGATGGACGACTATCCGCTTCATCCATGTACTGAGGAACATTGTGAAAATTTGGAAGCAGGTAACACATATGAATGATATCGTTGATGGGTTGGCAAAGATTATAAAAACGAATTTTTTTTAGACGGAAGTAAAATTAATTGGGAAAAGCCCAGTGATGATTATGAATATATTAATAGAAGTCAAATTCCTAGAATGCCATGGCATGATGTAGCGTGTGCGTTTACCGGCGATGCGGTCAAGGATGCAGTAAAGCATTTTCGTCAACGATACTATGCTTTGAAACCCAGTTGGTGCACGTGGGGTCTTCAAGATTTGCCAATAGAGCTTGATGTATCGGAGAGTAAAGTGCTCAATATCGATGACAACTTATTTACAAAGGTTAACATTGAAGTTCTTCGTTCTGTTGACAATTGGTCAGCTGGGCAACCCCACGAAACCATTTATAACGCTAATCTTAACGCAATTGAAAATGCAGAGAAATACATTTACATCGAGAATTAGTTTTTTATCTCATCCCCACCAGACGTGGAGAATCAGATTCAATCGGCTATGACGAATCGCATTCATCGTGCCTACAAGAATGGTGAGGTTTTCACGATAGTTACGATAGTGTTTTTGTGAAAACAAAAAAAATTGTAGCCAATCTGAATGAATGAGAAAATAATTTTGGTAATTCTATGCATGCCGCGCAACTTGTAGGTTCATAAAAGATGCAGATGTAAATCTTTATGTAGATATATTTTTTAGTAATAGAACGCAATTTGTAGCTGATAGGGTTTACTTGGGCGAATGTATAACGCGTCAAAACCTTTTCCAGCCGACAATATAAAGAAATATAAGAAAAAACATAGTCCAAAAACATCATTCTCTTAACTCAAGATTCAAGAAATATTGAGACCACGACTTTATTTCAAAGTAAGTATAATAATCAAGCCAAGTGATTATTTACAAGCAAGCGTGGTCTTAAATAGTTGTTCAAGGAAATGACGTACGTAAGCAACAAAAAGAAAGTTCTTCGAATGGTTTGAATCTGGGTTTGTCATTCATGTTAATTTGATTTATTTAAAGATCTTCCAGATTGTTGTTATGCTTATAAAATTATTCAAAATCGTCTTCAAAGTCTTTGAAAATGAATTCCGTAAAGGAAACCAAAACGTCAAACGACTTTAAATAATTATATATAACAACACTACGAAAGATCTTTAAAAAAATCAATTAATATGAAAAAGAAAGATCGCAAGTGTTCCTACTTACAAATGGTAAATGTTGCTTTCAAATCATGTCTCTTGCTAATACAGTTAGCGCGAATATCGAGTTTACAAGATGAAGTTTTTTGGAGTATGTTTTATATCTTGTATAACGGGTTGTAATGCTCAATTTTCTTGCGAAGGCTTTAGTTGAAAATTTTTATTCGTATTTCAGTCAACATAGCGAAGCCGCAACTAGAAAGTTAAAGGGAGGGGGGAGGAGCACATTTGTCAAAAGCGAACTCTAAGTGACTCTAACTCATGATTTTCTTGTCATTAAAACTAAATGTGCCTCACACTTGACGACAATTTTAACATTCAAAACTGACGTTTAACAGCAACTTCGCAACTTAAAATAACAATAACCTTTGTACAAGCACAGTTACGTAAGCTCTAAATGATACCATAGAAGATGGCTTTCGATGATAAAAGAATAGGATTGTGACTAACGAATCATACAAGGTGTACTTACTTAGTTCGAGAGCAAGCTCGCGATTATTCTGGACCATCGTCGGACTGCAAGACGAAGCTTCCACACCTGGAGATGATTTTTGAAAAATTGAATGGTCAAAGAATACAAGGAAAAATATACAAAAATACCAAAAGATAACTTTATGAAAATTTTGCAGGTGGCGTAGCCAGCACGCAAATTTTAGTCCTGCTATGCAAATTTCCTTACGCTCATACGTAATCATTTTTCATTTCTTGAAATCCTTGCGAAGATCTGTTGTTTCCACGTGAAGCAAACGGAGAAAAACTATCCTACTGGCAGTGGCGTAACTGATGTGGGCAATGCAATCAGCTTACAAGGGGCACAGTGAACGGTGTGATTTATAAAAATACAGAAAAAAATAGGTTTACATTTGAGGAACTGGAAACAGTGGATATCATTCGCAGTCATTCGCGAATTCGTGTTCCTAATAGTAAATTAAAAGTACCTTTTGGTATTTTTATGTACATAAATAAAAAAACAAGTTGATATTGTGTTCTAATAACGATTATTAGGAAAAAGTTTATGTTATCAGATTTTGGTGGAGGAGGGGGGCACCGCCATCATAGAAGGATCATAGGCAGCTTGGTGCAAATTTACGCCACTGCATAGCGGACCAATTATGCGGGCTGACCACGCAAAAGCTTGATTGGAGGAAAGTTGATTTTTTCATTTCTACCTTTAATACTGTGTTCGAAGGCATACTCAAAATGCAAAACGTCCTCAGACTATTGCTATGTCAAGTTAAGCTAAATTGTATGATGCAATTTTTTGTGAGGGGGTTAAAATATTTCTAAAAAGGGATGAGCAATTTATTCAGGGGGGCAAAGTCTGATATTTATGAGGGTGCCCTTTTGCACTCCCCCCGCCCCACAGAAAGTATGCCTCTGTCCTAAAACAAACAATGGACATGGACTTCCAATGTTGTACAATTATGATTAGAGACAGAATAAAATTGCCCTGACAAACCTCCCAAGAACACTTGTGATGTACTCGTCCTTTTTGCTTTTCTAAGTGTAATTTTTTGAATTTCTTCCATGACTGAATGCATTAGTCCTTGGACATATGGCAATTTTCTACAAGGTTAATTTAAAGACTAATTAACACAGTTATGTTGAACTACACAAAGTAATGTGGCTGGCAGCAGTGGTATAGCCAGCCAGCAGGTTTGTGCTATGTAAATATTCCATTCTTCAATCTTTGTAATGATCTGAAATTTACAAAATATGACCTAACTTGCGAGCTGGTTCCAGGGCTACGCTACTGGCTGGCAGAACTGCTACTCAAAAAAATAAGTCAGTTGAGATATTCTTTATGCACCTTTCAATGACATGAAACCACTGAAGTTTATAAGTTCAAAACAATAAAGAGCTTATGAAAAGAGTTCTTTAACATTACCATGGAAATAACACACAGTAATTTAAACAAAAAATCATTTCAGCTTGGTGACAAGCTAATATATTTCACCAAGCTAAAATCCTTGCAAAATGACACTGAATGAGATGTAAGGTTATGTCCTCAAGTACTTTTTAATAGATTTGCAGGAGGAAGCGCAATAGGATGGATAAACAAAAAAGTAAATAGACATATGTATTTTAATCAACTTACACATGTGTGTGACTCACAACATATGAAAATAATGTTGCATGAATTGTATAATTTGTATCTTTGTAGTGCTAGTAACTGTGAAGTATGCCAGCAACAGATGTACAGTGTACACAAGAAGTTGGCATTTTATTTTCAAAAGTAAAGGGAATTAAAACATGAAAGTCAAATTCCTATCATATCGCATTTTGATAAGGATTCCTCTGCACATCAATACTGAATACTATAAAATGTATCATTTTACTGTTCATACATATTTTGCAGGTGGATTGAGTGTGTTATTGAAAATTTATAACTGGCATTAAGTCTAAACAGTAGCATCAGTATAGCAAAATGATGGAGTTTATTGCAAGGCTGCAATTTCAATCTACAAATCATTTTCTCCACACGCCAAACCTGTTTTTTGTTGTTGTCCGTGTTCGGCGTGGATATTTTCCATTTTCCAACCGACCTAGATTTCATTTTCTGTCTTACTGTCCCGTACAACCTAATACATGTTCCACCTATACTTTCTTATTGCACGAATAGTTTTGGCAAATGGTCGTTGTTTGCCGTTTGAATGATGTTTTGAATTCGATGTCTCATTATGACGCCATTTAAATTTCCTCTCTCCTTCGCGCCGTTTTATGCACTATGTAGCACATATCTGCGCAAGCGCAAGAGCAATTGTTCGTGTATTCGTTTCTTCGCAGGTAAGTTTTGCCATGGTTTTTATGTGTTTGCAAATGTTTTTGTACATTGTTCTTTTTTAAACGCTTCATCAACTTTTACTTCAAAAATACATCCATAATGGAACAATTTATATCAATGTCTAACTGCTTATGCAGTCTCAATTTCTTTCCAAACTCTAATTATCAAACCGATATTATCAATGCATTTTGTATTTATAATTGAATATTATTATACTTTATTTGACCTACGTTGGTTCTGCCACTGGTACCAGACTACCAGTAGCAAATAACTCAATTAAAACACAGAGGTGTATTGCTGAAAATTTACTGTTATATGTTACCTCTCTCTAATATATATTACCATTCAAAAACCAGACACACAATTTTAAAAAGGCATGGGAAGCTACTCCTCGCCCTGCAAAGAACCCCGGATTGAATCTGAGTGTAAAAGCTTCATGAACATTCTAAACTTGTTCTAAATGTTTATTATCTCTCGTACCAAAAACGCCAGCCGAAATCAGTCATGTCCAACATAATCTCTACAACAAAACTTGCACATATGTACTTTTTAGAAGTTTTTTTTAAGCCAAACTTGTAAACCAAAAAAACTTGTCATAAAAGACATGACAAACTCTACCTTATAAAGATTTTAGTCGGCGCTGGCATGTACAAAGGCCAAACAAATGCTATTAATACGTACGCCCCCACTAAACATTCACCCAAATTACAATAATAAATAATTTGGAATCGTATAACACGTACAGAGTGACTCGAGAGTCGATGCTTGATCGTGAATCGACCGTCGTCAGAGTGAAGAGAATTTTTTCTTCTTTTCTAGTAATTGATAATTAAGCTTCCACTTTAATGAAAGTCGAGTAAAAAAATGAGCAACACTTGAAAACAAACTGAAATTAACAAATTAATGATTAATTACATGCATATTTCTTTTTAAATGTCTATTATTCATCTCCCACGTAAGTATTTAGTCTAACGTCTTTGCAACCTTTGTTCTCGATCAATGTCCATCATATAATGAACATCAAAAGAACTCTATACTTTGGAGTATTTGTATTAATCGTAAAGAAGCGATCAATGTGGAGTAGATGAAACCTAATGAAAGATGGCCATCACAAGACTAAGAGCTAATCACCAAGGACGTTGGCTGCCGCTTCGCATAAAACAAATATATCCCGCTATCATTGGCATCAGTTTAGGTTTTGCGTTTTCGATGTTTTATATTCCTGGCACGGTGGTGGAAGAAACGTGTATCTTAGATGTTCAAATGGCCGATGTTCGCAGCACTGAAGGCCGAACTGTAAAAAATCAAAAGCCCAAAGACAACGTGAAGATTGGTGCTACGGTAAAGCCTAAACTTTCGAAATACGGTCCTTCCTTTCGCCCGTATTACGTGGCAAGCGAGATAACACAAAGAGATAGAATTTTTGTCGGCGTTTTGGCGTCCGAATTCAACTTAGAGACAATAGGCACAGCGATAAATAACACTTGGCTACCGGACTTAGATAGAGTCGTATTTTACGTACCAAATTCGAAGGATCCTGACTTTCACGAAAAGTATAACAGAGTGTTAGGGCTTCCTATTGTTCAGCTAGACGGTACAGAAGAAGACCAATCTTCGACAACAAGGGTTACTTTCAAAATGCTAGAGCATATGCATAAGAACTATGGTGATAAATTTGATTGGTATATGCGCGTTGAAGAAGCAACTTATCTTGAACCAAAGAGATTGGTAAAGTTAGTGAACATGCTAAATAGTTCTATGAACGTGTATTTGGGTTTACCTGGTGCATACAGTGCCAAAGGAGATTCAACACCAACAGATATCTACCACAGCGAACGATATTGTCAGGGTCAGCCCGGAGTTGTTATCTCTAGGGTCACTTTTGATGCAATTGTGCCTAAGTTGGACAAATGTCTTGAGAATACGTTGACAGAGAATGATGACATTGAGCTGGGTAGATGCCTCTTCAATAACTTAAAACTTCAATGCACATGGAACAATGAGGTATAATGACAATTTATGGAAAAATTTTCACAAGTTTTATGTTGCATCATTGGCATATGTCCTCCTTTTTCTTACACTAAGTTTTAAACCTTTGTGTTTCACTGTTGCCAGTGACAATGCCAGAATTTTGCTTTAGGGGGAGCACAAACTTATTTTGTGGGGGGGACATCAAAATTTGCCATGTTTCAGTGAAAAACAAAATTGTACTAAAATTACATCTGACTGATGTGTAAACTTTTAGAAACGCCAATTGCAACATGATTACTGATAACTTTTGAATTTTTCATTTCCCATATATATCAGAGTAAATTAGTGCATACAACACATTAGAACATGATATTGATTATTGATTCAAATCAAATATTTGCATGTTATAATACTTGCCAAATTGCAGTACTTTCATGAATCTTAGTTAACATATTTGTCCCTTTTTGTGTTTATGACTATGAGTGAACTTGTGAAAATCTCATTCGGTTTAGTGACATGGTATGTTGTGGTTTTGAAAAGCACAACTGTATTAATTTTTCTTTCTTTCCCACTTGATGTTCTCGAGAAGTACTGTATTTTTGTATTTTTAAGACAGAAAAACTTTTACACCAGGCTGACATCACTTAAAGTGTAAATGTAATGTAAACTATTTTGCAGAGCTTATACAACACTTCCCTGTACATTAGTGGAGATGTGCGAACTCTGTGATAGTACTGTCATTGCCACCTGCTCCCTTCTTGTCAATTCTGCATCTTAAGGTTTTTAGCTTAAACTTCTCAAAATTCAAATGGGCGCAGGGCATAACAATAGCCACATTATTGACTGTTGTTGATGTGGTTTCTGTGTATGAATATTGGTTAAAAGTACAATGAACTATGATACATTTATAAATGATATCTATGCAAATGATATATCTAAATAACAACTAGTTTGTATTCATAGCTGTAGTATTATTCACCAAATTCACCCAAATTAGACTTGAGTTTACTGGAAATGAGGGCGTGCAAAGTTTTAAAGTCCAATTTAAGAACTAGATCAACTGTTTCAGGCACTTATGTATGAGTGTTTTGATTTACTAGCTTAAGTTTAGTTATGAAAAGCTTTAGCAGCCTTTAAAAATCAATTCTCATTCATTTTTTCAAGTGTAGTTATTCAGTTAAGGTTGTCATCCATTTTTATATCTTCAGAGTCAATGAAGATGACTACCGCTAAGGTTGTCGAGACGTCAGTCAACAACAACAAAAACAGTCCTTCTCAGGACTATACCAACCTGTACGATCTACATTTACAAACATGTAACGATACTCCCCATTAATGGGTTATGTTTGTGTTAAGTATTTTATTGAAACCATGAAACTCCTGGAACTTGTTTAAAATGAAGGTCATCTGAAATGTTCATTGAGCCAAATATGAAGAGGCAAGGTGCTTTACATTCTTACAAACTGATATTACTGTCTTACAAATTAATTGTAGATGGAGCAATTCTTCGTCGAAATTCCCAAGTCACTGGAGAATCCCTTGTCATCTCATGTGAAGAACTGGTTGGGAAATCCTCCAATGAGAAAGGAAGTTTCCTTGTTTCCTGTATCATCAGCCAAATTAATGTACTACATTCATCAATACTATGCTGAAACAGAGCTGGCATGGACCATTCAGGAGACCAAGGATATTCAGGAAAAAAGTCAAAAACCTTTTGCCATTCCTTCCCGATGGTATGCATTTTTGTGTTTTTTGTTGTGCAATCTGTATGTTTGTTCTTTAGTGTCCTAACCCCAATGGAACCCTGAATAATTTCAGCTGAATAAATCACTCAGTGAGCGCAATTTTGGGGAGGGGGGAGGCATATTCATATACTCAGCCCTGCCCAACTTATTTCTTTTTTGAAAGTGCAATCGCTCAGAAATAACGCTATTGAACCCACTATCGTATCCAATTATTGCTTGCGTTTGCTTCTCCTATCTACGGATTGGAAACAAAGAGTTGTATCTAACATTTGTATTTTTCAAAACAATGCAAGTTTTATTGATTGACATCCACGATTCAACTACAGGCTGCTTTAACCGAACCTCTACCTTAATCTCTTTCTGTTCACTTGTCCATATTTAAGGTGTTATCGAGAAGCGACCCTCTTGGCCAATCGCATTTCCACATCCTTACGTCCCAAAGACACGCTTCGGCGTCATCGGTTGGCAATACTTCACGCGCACCCATATGTACGGCTTCAGCGATGACAACCCGGAGGTTAAACTGGAAGATGAGTACAAAGAAGACATCGACGAGGTCTACGACACCTCGGTAAAGATGATACAAGAGGAAATGGGAAGTCAGTACAAAGTGTTTCGCCTCATCAACGGCTATCGCAGGTTCGACATGCTCAGAGGTACGGACTACTTGCTCGATATTGGTGTGAAGAGCTCTAAGGAATCGAAGCAAGAGATTCGAAAGCGTGTACAGCTTCTTAGACCGTTAACCATGCTGGAGAACGTGCACATGCCTCATCCGACAACGCAGCGCGGTGTGTATTTAGTGCTGCCCGTGATGAAGTGAGTCACATTGGTAATTGTTTTGCATTTTAATTGCAACGGCATGTTCGCATTCCGTCAGTTGTGTATCCAGCATGCAAATTTGTTCGTGTTGTGTAAATTTTTCATACATTTCAGCTTTATGCATTTCTTTAGAAATCTATTGTTTTTACAGCGAGTAAACACCAAAATATTTACGTAACATGAAGTTATGAACAAACTTGCGGGCTTGCTACGCCCCTGCTTTCCGTTCGCATGATATAATTTGAATTGACTTCATGTAGTTCCTACGTATGTGTTCAAATGCCAGTTCTCTGAGTTTTAGACTGTAGTGCCTAGCTACATAGTTAAAACTAGCAAGAGATATCATAATCTTATAGTTTGTAATATTCCCCTTACACCAAATTGCTAGATGCCAATACTTTTATTCCCATCACAAGCGACATATTCCACTGTAGAAACCAATAGCATACATTTTGGTCTTGCTATGCCAGTTATTATTATCACAGTTTGTGTCTCAAGGAGCCACTGGAATTTCCTGGCATACTAATTTGTGACTAAAACATTTTAAGTGAATTTACGAGCGATCAATTTGCGATTTTCTTTCAGAAATGATGCGCATCGTCTCGAGCGTTTTCTTCAAATGTATCATACGAAATGTCTTCAGACCGGCGAAAATGTTTTACTTCTAACAGTCTTCGTCAACATACGAGACTCTTCGGCACAAGCTGAAGACACAGCTTTTGCTGAATCAAAGTCCGTCTTAATCAAGTAAGTTCGATCATTTTTTCTGTAAATTCTGCTTTAGATTCCTAGATAATGCGCATGATAATACGTCACGATAACACCGCAATTACTGCATAAATGTCATAATAAATAAAGTGTTCCGGTTGGCTTTCCCTGGACCTCTAGACTAGATGTCACGTGGCTTGGGTGAGCCCTCTGTCCACCCCCACAACGTTTTAAAAGTGGCCTCCAGTGCAATGATTTCTTAGAGAGACGGCTTACGTATGTTGTATTTGATTATCGTCTTCAATTCAATAGTTTTAAAGAGAAATACAAGTGGGCTCAGGTTCCTTGGATTCAAGTCGGTACCAAACATCATTCCATTCGATTGTTATTGGACATCGTGACGATGAAACTGCCGACTAGTGCGTTGATATTTCTTGCAAGTCTTGATGTTGAGTTCACGGTTAACTTTCTTGCCCGTTGCCGTATGAACGCCGTAGATGGTGATCAGGTAGCTATATGTCAAATATATTGTTGAGTGCTATATAGGCCTACTGCATGCACGCTTGGAAATAGAAACACGAGAACACTTTGAGATGTCTTTATGTAAGAATTTCTAGCACGGGAATGCTCTTTGCTCTTCTGGCTGTTCGCTCGAAAGGTGCAGGGATCGTGCACTGCGTATTTTTTTGTCAACTTCGGGGATATGATACTTTGTTGAATTTCGATGATTGACCGTGGTTTGAAAGTTAAGGATGTTTCGTGCAGTCTTTTCCCGGTGATTACGAGTGTAGTACATAAGATTCGTGCTCAAATTCGCAATTGTTTCGTACTCAAAAAGTAATGACGGTGGTGGTTTTACATTTCAGGTGTTCTTCCCCATTCCTTTTGCTTACTTCAATCCCGAAGTCGTCTTCCGTAACAAGCCGAAGCCAGACAACGTCGAAGTAAACAAGGATACAGGCCTGTGGGATACGGACGCGTACGACTTGGTGTGTTTTCGAAATCAGGACTACAAAGACCTTCGAGCCCATCGCGACACGTTTCTTCAAGAAAGCATCACCGATGAGAAGGAAGTTTTGAAAATTTTCCAGTCTAGTGATCTTCGTATTTTTCGTTCGACCGAACCGGAACTGCGGAGGATTTTCGAAAAACGATCATGCCGAGAGATAGAGGACAGCGACGAAAAGGAGAAGTGCATGAAGTTCTTAAGAAAAAGAATGGGGACGAGATCACAACTGTCCGCCATTTTGTTGGAAAAGGAACCACATATAAATTAGGTGTTCGTCCAGTGCAATGTTAGGACCTGCTTCCAGATTGTACGCGGTCACCGTATAGTAAAGGAATTTAGAGTAGTTAGCGATTTTTAAATGTTTTCATGCGTGGTCTTCCCAATGGCAAAGGAGTTTGATAAATTAATAATCTGTAGGGTTCGTCGCTTTGTTTACCAAAGTTTCCTCTTAAATCATCTTTACCGATTGTCGAATTTCGAGTCTTCATTTTAGCACCCGCATGATTAACTTAACCATGTTTCTTGGAACAGGTCCAGTACCCGAGATTTGCCACATACATTGAAAAAACCCCGAATAATTTCAAGTTATCCGGGATCTTCGTACTGTAGGGTGACCGTAAAGTCGTATTACATATGCATAGGAAAGTTTGAGGTGAGTTATTTTTGTATAATTTACTTACCCCCCTTAACATGCAAATGAATTGCCGGGAAATCAAGTTCGTGGTCTTTTGAAACCATTATGAACATTCTCAAACGGTTATTAAGGACGTGCTTTATTATCAAACAATCATTGACTATTGTCAGACGATGGAACTTTTCTGAAAGGATATGACACTGGTAGTATAAATCGATAATGAAGAAAATAAGAGGGGGGGGGGTTCGAAATAAACTGTAAATTAATTTTTGTACAACAAGGCAACTTTTGTAAAAAAAAACCAGTATAAATAAGTTCAATGGCGTCGTCGTTTGTAAATAAATAGATACATACCAACTTTTTTTCAGTCTGAACACGAGTTTATGAGACAATGTTTAATCTATGAAAGGGTAATTTGTTTCTTTTCACTGGAATCTTTTGCTGTGTAAACAGTGAAATTTTGAGTATCTTCTCCGTAAATGTCTTTCGGACTTTCGCTAACGGGAGTCTACAAAAGCGTTTTTGTGGAGTTGTGTTTAAGAAGATGGAAAAATTTAGTTTCAAGAATGATTGCATACAGTTGCATACATAATTCCCCTGGTTTTCCAGCGAACTCCGATTGTCAAATGATTGATTTTCTATGATTTAAGCCATAGAATGTTTTGTGTGAGCTCTCTCTACTAAAGACTATGCGCAGACTTAAATAAATAATTTTTTTAATCCGTTAAAGTACATCATGACTTTGTGTAAACATGTAATTTTCATAAGGGGCTACTTTTTTCTGGCCCCTGTGGCTCATTGATTTATGCCTCCTAACGCAAAAACACTGCTTTCAAAAGCATTCCGTCTTACATGTTTTGTCTTATTGCACATATCTATCATAAATCTCAAGTTGAAACTGGAAAGGAATGAATAGTGACTAGACAATACTTTTTAACTCCAGTCAATAAGAAGTTCAGAACCAAGTATGAAATATGATAGTATTTTAATGTTTGCTGCTACATGACGTTTTCGCCTCGTGGGTATACAGCACGTGGGCGCGCTTGTATTAAATGATGACTCATCCATGAGTGTTTATTGTTAACAGTGATTGTTAATCGTTTACAGTGATCGATTTGTACGAATACAAAGTAAATTCGACATGGAATATCTGCGAGAAGAATTCGAACAATTGAAGAATCTAGCTTCAAGCTGGGAGATGGAGAAATATCAAATCGAAGAAGCTATTATGAAGGCTATTTCAGGTTGTCAAACATTTTGTGTATTTACCACGGTCTACGTCACTACGTGACAGAGTTGGCAGTATTTTTCATTATTTTTTTCTTTTATCTTCTTTTATAATACAAGAAAATATGCTTTATCAGAATATCTGGATAGATTATAGAATACCCGTCCACTTACTATCCACTCCTATAATATGCCTCGTTCTTTATAATTCGTTGTTTATATTGACCACTAAATGATACTAAATGATACTATATAAATAATAAATGAGGACTAAATGATAGTTTAGTTTAACTTTACTAATATGTTTAAATATGCATCCGGTATTCTCGAATTTGTAGGGTGCCTTCAAAATGGACGGGTATTGTTTTCTTTTATTCTTTCTGATTTTGGATGAAAATTTGGAATTTTGAAGACAGTCTCAACATCACATACTTGTATCAACTCTTCTATTAAAAAGTAATACTTCTCTTGCATGTAGCGGCACACGCATTCAAAGAAATTGGGAGGCTGTTCTATACTTTGTTATTTGGGACGACTTCTGAGTGTCAATATTTGATAGCAAAAACCCTCAATTCAGCCCAAATCAACTTTTTATATCTTTCATCAGTTTGTATTTGACTAAATTTTTGATGGTGTGTAGTACTCTCCCTCCCAATACACCTCTATGAAATGAACATCCTTGCTTTAATGCTAGTCGAGTTTATAAAACATATAACATCAGTCAATAATCAAGTGGATTGTGTCATCTGGTCATCAAGTATTTTTCAAATGTTAAATATCTTTGTTTTTTACTGAAAATGCTCCTTTACACGATGCGACAGATTGTGATTCGGTGGTGTACCAGTATGTTTAGTATATAGAAAATGCTTTCTGATCATCTATTAGTAGATTGAGACAGGTAGTGCATCTTATGTACTCTGTGCTGTATTTTAAGAAGTAAGTATGGCCAGAAGAAGCAGGAATTCAAACTTAGCACCACAAAAAATACAATTTTATGCAAACCAAGGTGATTCCTGAGAGAACTGGAGAGGTGATCAGTGGAATCGCAAGTGTCTCCAAACTGTTTTAAAATTAGAACACTGTCCCAAAAGTTCTGCAAAGTTTTAAAACAGTTCTTTTCAGAACTCTTAGATTAGTTTTGTGATTCTAAAACAGTTCTTTTCAGAATTCTCAAAGGTTTCTTTGGTTTCTCGGATTTCTATTGGTTTTCTGCACTCTTGGTCACTCTAGAGTTTTTAGCCGTTCACCGTGGCAATTGCACTTGTCAAGGCAATCTTATTTCAGTTAGGTGGCCATGTAGCCTGCCCGCAAGTATGGTCAGTGCTTTGCTTGGTTCTTCAGACAGTCAGACTGTAGTCAAAGGTGTGAGACTTAAATGAGGGTTTGAAGGCATGCCCCCTTAAAGAAAATGGTCGATTTTACGTATGCTCTCCGAGACGCTATTTCTTTCAGGCAGGTTTTACAATAATCTTAAAGGCACACGTTTTTATAAGGGCAGATTTCTATTAGATATGTCAACATGTGTATTCAAGGCAATCATGTAGACAACGATGCTCGAAGGTTGCTGACTTTGCCATGTGACCGTTAACAATAAGCAACTATTTTTATTACTATTTGACATTGGATTCATTGCACGCTCCCTTTCATTTCTTTTCATATTTTTCAAAGTCTCGAAATTCCTTTCCTGTCGGCGTCACTAAGTTTGTTCATATTATGTAAATATTGATGTCTTCGCACATTGTAAAAAATGGATTTCTAAAGAAACGAATTATGCTAATGACCTGAAATTCACACAGCACGACCAAATTAGCGGGATTTGATTATTATGTTCTATTTCAAATAGACAAAAATGGCAATGTACCTTCTCTGCAAAAGGACAAGAAAGTCGCAGCTAGAAGGCGAGTTACCTGTATGGGAATCTGTAGCACAGTGACTTTAATACTTCTGGCCGCGTCTACTGGAGGTTTGATCCTCATGAATAACTACCAGCCGTTCGAGATGTATGTCAATGGCGTCGTTAGTGACCTCACTTACCCGACGTTGAGAATGTGGCGTCTTATAACGCTACCGCTGCATAGGTTTTTCGATTTGGAACCATATGCTCGAGCTGAGTGTCTCGTTGATAATCGCTTTTACGTTCCAGGTTAGAAATAATTCTCTGTAGCCTACATCCCATGCCTCCCTTTTTATCCCATTTGTCCATTTAAACGAAATGTTGTCCTGTATTTCTTCCGTTTCCGGCGCAGAGTCACCTAGTTCCAGGCCCTAAAATCACATAAAGATGAAATTTTCGACTATTATATATACATGATTGATGGTCTTCAGATCGATTTAATTATCCGAATGAGTTATTTTCCCGACTCCAATGTATGTTTTTTTGAGCCCTGCTCATTGGTTATCACGATATATTGTATCGAGTTGATCTGAAAGTTACGCGTGAAATTTATTGTAGAAGAGGCCGATTGCAGTCCGTGCCAAGAAGCGGAAGACGTGCCGATAGTTAAAAATGTCATCAATTTTGTCGATGACTATGTCTCGATGGGCAACCCCGTTATCGTCACCGATGTGAAGCCTTACATGCACAAAAACATTACCATCGAAAGTTTCTACGACTATTATTTGGCTCACAAAGAGGACTTGAACAAGGATCTTTGCGAAGTTTCTTACGTCGACGAAACCGTCGACACCATCGAGAACTATTTTAATTTGCTGGAAAAAAGTGGATTGGAAACGCCAAACATAAGATGGTCAGTGACGTTTTTCACGGTGAAAACCATTCGTTAAAAATGCATCAATTGTATTTCCCAGATTTATTTATTTATTTATTTTATTTATTTATGTACATTTTTCCGTATTTTATATCACTTGACTTAATTTTGCTCAAAATAAACGCGGCCCAACTATCTGAAAGTATAGAGAGCCGAGTACAATTGTTACTATTGATTGTTTTATTGCAACACAATTGTCGCAGAGTTCTCAATATTTCTAAAAAACATTGAAAAGATCATTAAATCGTGTAAATATGTCGCCATGTTCAATTCAGAATGAATGAAATATTTACGTAAAAAATAAAATATTATGATTCATGTACTTGACATACGAAAGACAATAGTGAAGTTAATTTGACAATAGTGATGCTTTTTTTTTACGAAAATTGAAAATTGTGTTGACGTACTGCACTTGCTTGTTTTTTTGCTTGCTGGTTGGTTGATTGGTTGGTTTGTCTCTTCATTTCTTTGTTTTCAAGTCTTTGTTTCTTTGTTTATTTGATCCATCTGTATAAACTTCTTTTGATCAATTTCTTTAGGAAAGTGTGCTATGGTGAAGGTTTGCGAGCTCTCCGCAAATTTTTGCCCCGACCGTATTTTGTTCAGACGGAAGGAGCTCTGGAAAAATTTCTCATGGTCATCAACCAAGATGAGGAACCGTTTGCTCTGGTAAATAAACTTATAAAATAGTATTTGTGCAATCTGTGTTCTAATTTGTCAAAATTCGTTTTTGTATCGAAAGCCGAATTGTAAATTGCCCTCTCGAATGCCATTGCTCACGTATGCCTTTCTCCTACTAAAAATTTGGGCTGCCCTTCCGTATTTATGACAATTTAGCTATGCGCAATGCTTACAAAGTTAGGTGTTGTTTATTTGTAAGAAAGCCTTCTAATTATATCTTATCCAAGAGCTTGCACTCGAATAACTTCTGTCAGGCTCCTGTCTCGCGGCTTTTTATCGTATCAAATTAAAATGTATATAAAACGTGCTCTCAATCAATTGAGCTACAAGGCGATATACTGAATTTTATATGAACCAATGATTTAGAAACCATTCCTCTAGGTATCTCACTACCGTGTCAAGGTAAGGCAAGGACGCCATCTTAAAAGGTAGAAAAAAACAAAACTCACAATGAAAAATAAGCTAAAAGAAGTTTTAAGAACCCAATCCTATAAACTTTTAAAAAATTAAACCTAGACTATCAACTTTCCAACTGAATATCAACTCAAAAAAAGCAGATATTAATGGTGAATATCTTTTGTTTTGCCATCTTTCAATATGGTGCCTACCTCACTCGTAACTATAGAATTTTGGCTGAGTCAGATATCTAATACATTGGGTTCTAGGTCATTGGTATGAACGATATCGCGATCGCTCTGATTGGTTTTTTGACTTGAAATCGGAAACTGCAACATGCATATAAGAGTAATGAAATTTCTGATTTCAAGTGCAATTTAGAGAAGTCATTCAGGATTATCGTCCCTTACTTGGTTGTGTAAAATTGTAGAGTTGTTTGCGTGACGTGAAATGATAACGGGAAGTTCTTAGCGAAGTTGAGGGAATTTTGCGGCGCCAAACATTTCTCATGGCTCAAAGGATCGTCGTATAAATGTTGCATGTGCATTACAATATAACTGTCTTTACCGTAGATTAATGTTGTTTTTCATTTTCGTGTAGCCTGTTGGACAATACGGTAATTCGTGGATCGCACAAGTGACCGGTGCGTCCGACATGGAAATATATCCCATCGCTGATTGCAACACAACGTGTTTAAGTTTCAACGTGACGTTGAACAAAGGAGAAGTCAGTAAGTACAGATCATTATAAAATAAAATGCGTGTGCTGATCCATCTACAGCCGTGTTTGCATTATGCTGTGCAAACCGATACTAGCTCAACCGATACTAGCTCAACCGATTAAATTAATCAATCAATCAATTAACCAATCAATCAATCAATCAATCAAAGAGAATTTGCAAATCAATCATGAATACACGTTTGAGGAAATATTAAAACGTTTGTTTTAAATTTACCTGTTTTATATTAATGTTATTTTATAAACGAAATAAAAGATGTTTTTCGTATTTGCACTGGCTTATGCAAACCTCGGAGACGTTTATGAGAACTCTCGAGCAGGTGCAACCTTCGGTTTCGGGCTTGCATTGATCTGCTATCGAGTTCTTCCTAAAGTGTCCTCGGTTAGTATAAGCATGTGCAAACCTGATAAACATTTTTTTCTTAATTTCTACGCACAAACTCAGAGGCGGACTAGCTAATAAGGACACCAGAAAATTTCCATACACAACTGAAGTGAAAAAAGTTTGTCCACATAAAAATAAAAACGAAACAATGTTCATGCTGCTTGTCAACGAGTATTTTTAAGTCTCCCGGTTTCAATTTATAGGCAGCTTTTGAGGCGTCTTGCGCCTTTGAAAATTGTTTACAATTTAGAAGCTAATGGACGTTTTTGCTATTTCTAGTATAGTATCTTACCCTAAAGCATTCCTTGCGAGCAAGTGATTTCGACTAGCCTATGTGCCTGGAACACGATGCAGTTCTCAAAAAACGGAATGTGCAGAATCTTATTTGTCGTTTTGTTATCTAGTTTATTTTGTTTTCTCACTTTGGTAGCCGTCGATAATTTATATTAAGCACATAAATAATTTATTGAAGCACGCGAACTTTACCTCCGCCCCCGCGCTTCTACAACTAGCTGCTGTTTACAACTGGTGCCCCTTCCTGAGTTTTTCCGGTGTTTCGTAAAGAGGTCATGGAGTCCATGGGCCAGTCTGCCTCTGCACACTGACTCCTGGGAATCCTGTAAGCCCCATTTACAGAATATACGAGTGTTGTTACTCGATCAATCACATGCATTTGGGACAAAACACCCTAGCCACAAAAATAAGCGAATAGGATTGATCTGAGTGATATAACCATCGTGGTTACGTCTCGGCTGTACCTATATTCAATGGAACATTGCTTGAATTAAACTCGTTCAACAAATTGCTATGATTTTTACAATCTATTGATGTTATAACAATTTTTTAGTCAATTTTTCATCTTTTATAGTGTACATCAGTGAAGATCTCTGGATGGTTGACATTGTTGGCAATCCAACCGATGAAAGCGGGCTTGTTTTGTTGTCCACTTTTGCTTAAGTTAAGCACGCGTGTTGCTTGTTTTGAATATTTTACTATAGAATTAGAATTGCAGAACTTAATGACACATTTCTTTTCAATGAATTGCGTTCTTTATGTTTCTATTCTTGCCGTCCAGGACATCCCAATGACCTAAAACCATTGAGCTCTAAAAGACCTGGAGGGGCAAAGGGGCCTGGGCCTCGTGGTCAAAAACATGGCGGTAATGGCGGATTTTGGTTGTCAAAACTTCCACTTTGAGAAAAATTTTTAACATTCGCTCCCTCCCGAAACGGATCTCTATTACTGCTCATAGTAATGACAACCAGCGAAAACAACCACGATACCGTAAGCATAAAATATTGAAAATAATGCTTAAGGTTTTTGTGAAATAGACACACACATTTAAATGAGGTAAATCTACTGTAAAATAACGTATATTTTGTCAAGTAATGCTTTAGCTATATTAGAAATAAATATCAAACGGCAATCTTTACACTGTTAATGTGTTGTTAAGCTTTAATGCATAATCCCATGCGCATTACTTGTGTTTTTGACTGTTTGTGAACAGCTTGGTGCAACTGTCTTTCTTGAATAGATGGGTAAATCTTAGTTAAAATGTCGAAAAAGGAGTTAGAAAAAGTTAGCTTACCCCTACGACTTAAGTCGACTGGAAATATATTATAAGTAGGTATGTAATTTTTTTGAGTTTTTTTTTTGGTAGGATTGATTCTGGGTGTCTTATAAAGTATTATGATATTCTGATAAATCTACTGAGAACTTATGAGGAAAATATCTTGAACTAGGAGAGCAAAAGAACGAAATTCAGAAATTCTATAATCATGTTGCTGATTCTGTTTTAAGCCAAGATATTAGAAACTGGATTGTTATTGACAACCATGGATCTACTACTGAACAGAACTACATTAATTTCCCATTGAAAATACTATTTCTTAAATCAAGTGCATTGGTTTCTCTGACATAACACTTTTCTTATTGCTGCATGAAGGCAAACCTGTTTAAATAATTATAATGTAGGTGAAGATATTTAGCATGTTGTATAATTGTTATTATACAGACATTATTTATAATATTATGGCCTTGTGTAATGTATGTCAAGAACTTATTAATTCTCAAAAATGCTAACCTTGCACTACTTTTCTTTTGTGTCCTTACAAATTACAGTTACCTATACTAATTTTTTCTAGGTTCAAACAACTTGACAAATTTTTGAATTTTACATTATGCCTTTGAATTTTTCTTTTTGTCTTTTGGTAAAAATATCAGTGAATGACTTAAAAATCAAGTTTATCTAAAATAGTATTTTGTACAAAGTAACTATACATAATTGGAAAAGTCTCATGTTGAAGGCAGATGTGGCTTCTTTTACTAGATTGCTACTCTTATTCTTTTAAATGATATCGTAATTCTTCAAAAGACATAAAAAGTTCTTTGCCATCAATTTTTGCTTCTTCCACATTCAACTTCATTGCAACCAATGCATCTTATGTGAATTTTTAATCACCTGGAATTGAAAAATGTATGGATTTTGTCAGATGATGTAGTAATGTATTTAATGTTTCATGCATGTCATGATAAGCTTTTCTTGAGCAAATATTTCAAGGTAGGAGCAAAATTTGGCACATTATTGAACAAAGTAGTTTTTATCTTGATTTTGATGTACTAACCTGTTTAGTACACTGTGTAACAAACAATTCATTTACAGAAACACCATATGGCATTTATAAAACTTTTAGCATAAAGCAAACCTTTACACACCATCATCATGCTTGTCCAAATCTGTCAAATTGTCCAGGCTAGCTGTTTAATACAGGTAATTTTTATTGTACGACATGTACCAAAGAGCTCATTAATTAATCCTGCACTGCATTTGATTTCAATACAGCTCTGTCCTTAATATTTGCTTCATATTTTCAGAAAAATATCATGAAAAAATCCTCCATTTCAACTCAGTTGAAACAAGGAGTTTTAAGATATGCATATCTCGATAAGAACTGGTTGCAATGCCTCGTCTAGCAATCAATTAAGTAAAGAACAAATAAGACTGGATAAACATAACTTAAATTACAACTTAGGAGTAAAAACATTCACAAAATATATGCCATCACACTTCAAGTATTGACTTAAAACAAAATACTGAACACTTTAAATAGTAAACAATCTTACGTTGCTTACCGGTGTCATGAAATGTTTCCTTTTCTGGCATTACTTCAGCATCCGTATACCAAACAAGTTTGCAGCATGTTTTAAAGATAAAATTTCTAAAAGTTTTGTGCTTGGCATTGATATTTTCTATAATCGCAATTGTGGTTGTCAAATCCGGGTGGGCGAAAAAAATTTCATTTTATGAGCCCGCGTCTTTCCGCTGACTTTGACAACCAAAATCCGCCATGTTTTTGACCACGCGGCCGCGCGCTAATAATTTATACTAATTTTGTTGACGTTCCCCCTCCAGGTCTTATAGAACCCAATGCCTAAAACTCAATCTACAAGATACCTGACACTGCCGAATTTTTGTGCGAAGGTGGCAAAACTGACGATATTTACTACTAAAATTTGCTTCAGTGCTAATGTAAAGAGGATATTTTGGGTTTGGTTTTTCAAAAGTTTTTGCTTATTTTGGATGTGCTTTTTACCAGCTTTTACAATGGCGTCAAAGCCTCACCTTAATTGGCATCGTAGTTAGACATGTAGGGATTGGGTCAAATCATTGATTTATGTATACATCTTCACGTCAAACCATTTGGACGGCGATTACTTTCAATAACGTGACAGCATGGTTGCTGCAAAATTGAGGAACTTCGAAAGATTACTGGCAAAAAACACAAACTGCGTACGGCTCTAATTATCATAGGAGCCAGTGGCGTAACTAGGAAAAATAGTCACTCCCGCCAATCCATCTCGCGCCGGAGGCTATTATAGGGGTCCGGGGCATGCTCCCCGTAAAATTTGAAATCCAGAGCCTTGGAAACAGCATTTCCTGCGATTTCGAGGCGAATTATTTGTTGTACAATAATTTATAAAACCCATTTTGTTAGCTGCATTCTTATTGTGGCAATCGTTGAAACTGCAACTAGTTAAAAACTAAAGGTGGCTCAGAGAAACGTTACGCAAGAGACAATTGTCCCCTAAAACATAATTTACTCATCACTGCCCCTGCATAAACAGAAGAAATTTGTATTAGCACAAAAATAATATAGTATACGACACTTCTAAAGTGCATAGAGAGAGATTTTTCTTAGCATTCTACTTGTTAGTTTAAACTTGTTTAGATTGGGGCAAGTAGACAGGGATGGCTTTATTCTTTAAAGTTATGCTTAATTTTCTCAATGAAGTACCATGTATTATACGAACAAATATCAAAACACATACTATACTCATCATTTATAAAGAAAGGCCAGCCTCCTGGGTTTTCTACAAATTTTTCAACCACCTCGTTATGCAACACCTCTGATTCCTCTTTCTTTTCAATGATATCTTTGTGAATAGATATTCTACACAAAGAGCTAAGCCGACCTTGACCCATTCTATTTCTTAAATAGCTTTTACCCTTTTAAGCAAGAAAACGACCTCTCTACTGAAGCACTTGCCACTGCCAACACACCATTCAATTTTAACAAATTTACCACTTGACCTAAACTCGACTGGAGATTAAATTTGAAGATGTATTTAAGAACCTCATTACTGCACTCTTTGTGAAAGTCCTTGTCGTTGTAAATGAAGGAAAGTTGACTCTCCAAAGTTTGGATGTCAAAAGAGGACTATACTTATCTTTGAGAAGATTGATCTTCTCCTGTGGAACTATGCCCTTCCATGTAGTAAATAGTTTAGGATTTACAAGGTCTAAAACTCGAACTGATTAATATCTTGAAATCGTTCACTTAACATGCCTTTAATGGAATCAATAATCTCAAAATAAAGCTGTTTGTAATTGTATCTACTATCTGCTCTGGTTGCTGGTGGGCCTACTTTTTCTAGTGCAGTTTGGTAAATTCTCGTGAAAGCTTGATCTGTGAAGTGACACAATAAACTGCTTGAAATTGTCAATCTTGCTTATGCCATAGTTAAAATGGGTTTCCCTATTTTGAAGAATGGAATACAAAATTGTGGACTGTTCTAAAATCCTGTAAAAACACACACTAGAAAACAAAGAGAAGCTATCAAGATAATGCAGTAAGCCACTTATTTTACTTAATGACTCATCATCCAACCCAGCTGGTTGTTCAAGTACCCCCTCAAAATATCTAAAAGTTTTTCATAGTTTTGTGCAATACATTGATTAATCTAGAGCGATAATACCATCTTGTTTCACCAGGGCAGGAAACTCAAGGTTGTTAGATGTGAGAAAAGCTTTTCTTTTGGGGCATTGCTTGTAAATGTGCTGAATGTAGCTATATTAATAAAAAGATTTTAACAGGAGAAATTGATGAGGCTGACTGGCATAGGACCAGGTTCAATCTATGAGCTGCACAATGAACAAAATGAGCAAAGGATACTCTTGTCGAACCAATGCTTGAACACCATTGATATGGCCAGACATGACAAAAGCACCATCATATGTTTGTAAAACCAGTTTTCTTTTATATTAGAATACTCACCAAGTTTATCTTTGACAACTTGTGATATTGCTGTGGCATTTCTGTTCATACTTACATCCACAAATCCTAATTGCCTCTCCATAATTTCACTTGCTTTGTCAAACCGAGCAATAACACTTAGCTGCTCTTTGGTGGAGACATCAGATGCTTCATCAACCTGAATACTCATAAATGTGCAATCATTTATTTCCTTTCTGATTTCATCTTCAATAATTGAATCAAGACAGCTGATAAGACCATTTTGAATTTCTGGGGAGACTCAGTAAATCTTCTGTCACCAACTATATCAGATTCTGCTAGTCTACTGTGCAGTCGACGCTCAAATACAGAATCAAACTTAGCAAAACATTCGAGCAACTCTCTATAATTACCTTTGTTCAAGCTACCTTCGGACTCATTGTGACCTCTAAATGGCAACTCTTGCTTTGACAAATACAGCACGGCCTCAGTAACAGTTTTAAAATTTCTCGATTTTGTCTTACCTCCTCATTGTGACGCTGAATCTCATTTCTTCTAGCGAGGGACATAAGACAATCATTTCACTTCACTAGTTTTCCATGTCTTAAATGCAGTCAAATGCGATTTAGATTTTTCATGCTTCTTAGCATCAGACATAATACTCCGCATATCGTTGTAGCCATTCTTAGTCCACGATGGCGATGTTTTGGGAAAACATTAGACATGGCCAACAAAACACTTTCTGCAAGGTTGTACTGCCACACAGCCAGTCCTTCGCCTCATACCAATCTCTCTGAAATGCTCTTCCCTTATTTTGGATAGTTAAATCAGGAGTAGGCCGTTCATGAACGATAACATTCTGTTCGACCGACGATCGAGCAGAGAACGGTTTAGCTAATAAGCTATTTACTAAATCAACATCAGTTGAGCAAATCGCAGTCGCACTTGAATCCATTGTGTCATACACAAATACAAAATAGCAATTTGAGAGTAAACACAATGGAAAATTAATACCGACAATGACAGGTAATTCGCTGTACTCGTATTAAAAGGTCGAATAATTACAACCTCCGCCAATTTAAAATAGCGGGAGTTCGACTATAAAAACAGCAGATTTGAGCATGCGTCAAGTCCCTTAGCCAACCAGAATTCAAAACTTCTTATATAGAATTATATTGTATGTTCCGCCCTCTGAAGATGGGCGGAATACGTGGAGAATCGCGCGAGTATGCAATGTGCGAGAAATGTTGCTAGGTTACATAACAAATCTTGAGATTTTGCTGTATTACGATTACGAACCACCTAGTAAAAGCGCAAATATGAACGAATAAAACATAATATTACAAATTGTTCGTGAAATAATGTATATCTTATGTCCAAATAGAATATTTAATATTTTTTTGGGAAATTTCTACTCCCGCCGGGCGGGAGTAGCGGGACCGCTAGCTACGCCACTGATAGGAGCATATAGTCCTTTGCAAGATCAGTGGTGGTAAAGCGGCTGTTTTCGTCCTCCAGATCGAATGCTATTAATAGAAAGTTTTAGTTTGGCGGTTACGTCAAACAGCAAACCTCGACTACCCGCTTGCTGTTGAGGTTTGTCGTTTGGGAAAAAATGGAATTTAGTTGAGCTAAATTGTATGCTTTGTTAAAAAATTGTCGATGAAAAAGGCATATTCATGTTGTATACCCACAGTCCCACACGAATATATACAATTCAGCCATAAACATCACTTAGTTGTATGAAAAGTGCTATAAAGCTTGCCGTATATCTCCTACCGCTAAAAGGGTCTCTTTCTGTTAAATTCTGAACCGCAAACCGCAACGTTATCCGAAAAGCCATGCTGCTCACGTGACGGTTTGCCGTTTGCCGTCAACGCTAAACTAAAACTCTCTATTAGTGGAAGGCATTGTCCTCCGTAAGCTGTAACGCCTTTCCCTAAACCTCAATCGCAACAAGGGAACCGATATCTTGAAACTACAAGATCTTTCTGTAGAACTCTGGATTACTTTCCTTTGAATTGAATTATTCTACATAGGATATTTATTTCAACCGCAGTCTTTATTAACTGGAGTTTCTCGACATTTACAAGGCGTGGTCACTTGATGAAACATTAGGAGGTGGATGAGCGGCAAAATAAGTGAAATGATCATTGAATTAAGAATAGAGATGATAACTCTATTGAATGATTGAATTAAGATGATAACTTATTTAACTAGATGGTAATCACCACCCCCGTCACACCTTCCACCCGGGTGGTTCGCCCATGAAATTGACCTGAACATCGTGTGAATTTTCGAGCTACTCGTCTCCATTATCGTCCTACATATTGAATATGTGGCTAGGAAAGCAAAAGCTAAGAAGTTTTTGCATAATCAGGAAGATGTGGCTGAGTCGGAAAGATATAAGACATTGACAAGTCTTGTTGACAAGTTTTGGGATATCTGCCTTTTTAACAATGATAACCCCGAACTTTTAAGTGATTTTTTACTGAGAACTCTGTCAAAGCTGGAGGAATGTGAAGTCATACATGAACATGGTGTTATTCTATTTCAGTCGTATTTTCATCAAATTATTGGCTTTCAGCGTGAACATGAACTCTACTCATCACGTACAATAAAAAGGTATATATAAGGTATATATATAAAAGATATTTGTACAAAATCAACACATTTGGTCAGTAGGCGATCGAACTTTCTGTGAGGGCATAAATGTCTGTAAGTAAATAAACAGTAAATTGGTAAATATGTAGCTACAATCGGCTGTCAAACTTGCTCGATATTGGACGTTTTACTCACGATTTCTTGCGTAGATTTTACTCTGCCAGGTTCCAGGTACACTATGTGTTTTTAAACTGTTTCTGTTAATGAATATGCGTGTTTAATTGATACATTTCCTCGTACATACGGAAGAATATTAAAATTAATCTAGTAATTTTCGATATAGTTTAGTTAAATTTTCGCGAGAAAACAAAATGAACATGCGATTTGGCAAAATAAAAGGAAGTTTTGTCCCAAGACTTTGAATTTGCGTGCAAATTGAAGTTGCGCGCTGCCACCTTACAGCTATTTTGCACCAAAAACTGTGTCAAGGACAACTCACTTAAGTTAACATGAACAGTGCGAAAAATAGGGGAGGAAATGTTAGTAACAAGACAAATATTTGACATCTTTCCAACCCCCTTAAGAGTCTCTATATGTAGTCTTCATGTGTGGATCATGAAGTAGCATTAGTCTTGGAGAAAAACTGAGTTTGCACAAAAGAAATGGTAGGTTCCATAGAATCTACTTGCTTCAACAAAGATGATTCAATGATTCAATGATTCATTGATTAATAAACTTTATTAAAACAGGGTGACCCAATAAGTAAAAACAGTCCTCTCTTGCGTCCCTACACCCTAGTTCTTATTATGATAACTGGAAATCATGAACACCAGCCTTTGTAAAGGCCAGGATTGATCACACTTGCCCACCACAAGTAGCAAGGTTCAATCTCTTGTCCAGGCAGTGCAAGCATCAAGGTGAAGGTCGGCTCTTAAAATGTAGGAATTATAAGTAAGATGTACAGATATGTGAGAAATGGTCAAAAAGGAGAATGAATGCGTACTGTCTGCAAAATGTGGAGAAGGGGGAGAGCAGACAAAAAGTCAGTGATGGTTTGGATGTTGTTTGACTGTTTATGGTAGTGGTCATGCTAAAGAAAGTGGTCAGACTTAGGTATTTTTTATTTACAAAGTGGGTAGGATCTGGGCATCATGTCTGAGCTCGTATTTAGTGTAGGGCATGTTGGTGGATATGTTATAAAACAGATCAAATATTGTTTGTGCATGCATTGAGTAAAAGAGCAGTAGCTTAGCCAGCATCTCTTTTAGTCCTGATTTGTAAATTCACTTGTGCTCACCCACTGAAAAAACAATGAATGAAAAAGCCAAAAACAATTTTCCAAAGAAATGGCTTATGAAAATGCTCTGAAATTTGCATAGCAGGATTGGGGGTCGCAACTTGCCGGTTAGCCATGCTGGGCAGTTCAATGTTCATTTAACAGGAGTGGTGCAGATTTTCCAAGGGGAGGTGCATTCCAAAGGCCTTGTGCAATTGTGGATTTTTAGTACTTTAATTATTGCAAATGGTGGTGGTATGAAATGTGCAAATGCGTTTGAAATGAGTTTCACTGTACAATTTCATAGCCTCTAATACTGTTATACTAATCGTCTACAGCACGTAATACCATTTTAGAACTTTTTGTCAGAGGGGGGAGAGGGTGCTAAAGAATTTTTTCGGGGTGCCCACCACACTGTCTCCCCTAGAAAATTCGCCCCCGGGGTTGGCTAAACTACTGCGAAAGAAATGACGAAAGAAAGATGTCGCGATAGTTATGCGATCAAAATCCTGGTGTTTGTTAAAAAGAACGTCCAAACAAGGGTCTTGAGTTTGTGAAAAAGAACGGGGTCGTGAATAGAGTAATGAACGAAGGCAATAGTTGGGATCAAAATGTTGAAGCCAACTTGGTGGATGGTCAGTCGGGAAGAATCGATGAAGAAAACGAGGAAAATGAAAGAGGAAAAGGCTGACAAAAGTTTGCAAGTATGTTTTGAAAAGTTAATGGTCGGGTTTCGTCTGACTTTGTGGGATGGAAGAAGAAAACCTGATGCGTGAGCGATGAGTTTTTGGCACCGAAATTTGAAAGGAAAGGAAAGAAAAGAAGTGAATTATGGGTCTTATAAGGGAGTGATGTCGCTTGAATATATAAAGACAAATGGGGTGCTAGAGAGGAGAATGCGGTCTATTGGGAAATAAGACAAACTACAACTTGCTTTTAAGTCTGTCAAAAGTTTGTGATAATGAAGTTATAAGAAAAGGATCTGGGCAAGGAGAAGAAATTGTAGCCATGTTCACATTATTGAACCGGGGAAGCCATTTCACAGCCTCCAAAGAAAAGTCCTCTAGTTGGCGATAAGGAAGCTCTCTTTACCTGAGGCAATGGTGAGATTCGTAGTAAGTTAATGTGAAGAGGAAAAGTCTTAGTCAGAGTTGGGATAGATGTTTTCTTAGGAATTTGCAGTGTCTTTGTTGTCACCAATGTTTTTTGCGATCGCGGTTGAAGTGTTTTTAAGTGAAGGAAAAATTGTTTGATGTTCGACTACACGTGAAATGCTATGTGCGCATAACTTTGTCTTTGTCTGCGAGACGTTGGGGGGACTTGAGGACGCTGTGGAAATAGCGGGGGATGTTCAGGAAGTAGAGGAAAGCATTTTTAAGCAATGAGCAGTCGAAAAAACAATGATGCTAGTGAATGGCATAGAAGCTGAGGTGCCCGTGAGTAAGTTATATACGTATGGCATTTTCTACTTTTAGGAAGAGAGTAAATTCTGTTTTTTTTTGTGAAACGCACGAAGTAGATCCATGGAAAATGTGATAAAGTTTAAGAGGTTGACTCCGATGTTGGGAGAGATTGGGTTTGTGAAAGATGCAAGAAGCAAGCCCATGGATTAAAGGACTCAATGGAGGTTTTGTGTGACAGGTGTAAACGGTGAAAGGTTTCTGTTATGTTGCTGTTAGATTGAATGCACGTTGTGGTTCCGAAAATTGGCTGAGTTAACTTCAGGGAATGCTCAGAGTTTGATTTTCAAACTGTAACCCACTTTACTATACGTTTCTTATAACGTACATATTACAGTTTGTATCTTTGCCACTGTTGCTCTAGTTTTCAAGTGGAGTCGACTGCTTATTAGGACTCGACGGTCATGGTGATTAGCATTAAATTTTGTGAGATCATAGCTTTACTTTATAGTAAATTATTTGTATGCTAAAAATTGTTTAAAGATCGAAAATACCATGGTTAATGGCCAAATTAACCCGATAGCTCTGAAAAGAACTGTTTACAACCGGAGAGCTCACTAGATCTGAATGAATTGTTGTAAAGCTAAAAGTAAGTATGTATTTCGACAAACTACTCGTCGGATCTCGACGTCTGCTAAATCGGTAGATTTTAAAAAATTTCTTTCTCTATTCTATTTTCATATTGTGTACGGGGAAATGCGTGATGTCAATGTCATTTCATGTCCAGACGGGTTTCATTGTCATAGGCACACGTGAATTCTTGGGCATTTTTAGAGTACTCAACATTTAGACGACTCAGCCGCTACTCCCCTATGCACCCACGTATCGCTCATTTCATTACTGTATTTTTCTTCATTTTGTCATAGTATCTATCAAAGTCTCTTACGGTGTAAGTAGAAATTAACTGAAGTCCGCATTTAACATTGCTCTTGTTTCCGACTTTCCATTCCAATTTCGAAATTTATCAACGGTGAACTTTCCAAAACTTTTTCTCCTGTAGATTGGAACTTCCTTTTCACGCAAGTTGACCACGATGTCTTGCGAAATCATATGACAGTGCCAAAAAAACCAGTCGAATGCTTATTATTGATATGAATGTCCTATAAAGGTAATGTTTATATAGTTTTAAACTCTAACTGCATGCCATGATACTTGCTTAATCTTTAAAACGTAGTGGTTCAAATACAATTTAGTTGAGTTGTTTGCTCCTTTTTGTTTTTGCTTTTAAAAATATCAATTTGGAACAGCGAATGCATCTAAGGATTGTGATCATTTTCGTCGAAAAGCTTTAATCGAACTGTTTCTTCATGGGATATTGTGTAGAAAATCAATCGGGCATAGATATTCTTCCAGAAAACAACCTCCTTCACGTATCTTTCTGCGATTACTATAGCTACAATCTTGCAAATTATCTAAAGCACGACTTTTGTTACGCTTGAAATCGCTAAAAAAATCAGTGCATAAAAACAACTTGTCCAACATCACATCTGCGAACCACAGTAATGGTGTGCAAACGAAATATTTAGTTTTTAAAAATGTTTTGTTTTGTATTTTTTGTTTAGATTGGGATGTGTAACAGATGTTTTTCTCGGAAACTACGAAAGAATGCAATTGTCGTGTCGAGTCGTATGAATGTCCGTTTTGTCCGGGAACTATTTTCCACTGTGCTCGTGACCTTATTGAACATTTAGAAAAAGGACTGCACGTCAAGGACACATCTAATGCTGTTCTATCTTGCGCTAAATGTCAAGTCACTTATTTACGTCTTCATGAGTATATAAACCACCTCAAGCGCAAACGCATTCACAGATACGACCTTCATCAGGCGGCGTGCTGCGGCCGATTTCAGGATGTTAGCAAGATGGTTAATAGCTATGACGCTGATGCAACTGGTATATCTCATAAAATCAAACGAAATGAACGGTTTCTTAATCATCTTGGCAAGACACCTATGCATTGTGCTACGTTTATGGGTTATACCAGGTACTTGTTATGAAAAAGAGCATTAAAAGTGGTTTAAGGGCTTAAGTAGTTTATAAGTGGCCTAAAGTTGTTTTAAGGGTAGTTTAAGAATGGTTTTAAGGTGGTTTTAGGGTGGTTTAAAGGTTGTTAAATGGTTGTTTTAAGCTGGTTTGAGGGTGATTTAAGATTAGTTTAAGGGTGGCTTAAGGGTTTTTTAAGAGTGGCATAAGAGTAGTTTTATAATGGTTTATGGCTGGTTTAATCGTGGTTAAAATTGGTTAAAGGGTTGTTTTGGGGTGGCTTATGCGTGGTTTAAGAGTGGTTAATAAGTGATTTAAGAGTTGTTTAAAGAATGATTGAAGGGTGGTTTAAATGTGGCTTAACGGCTGTTTAACGGTGTTTCATTGTGGTTTAATCGTTGTTTAAAGGTGGTTTGAGGGTGATTTAAGGTAGGCTGTTGCGGTATTAAACCGATATCGAAATATCGATATTTTTTGCGATATTAAACCCCCCCCCCCGATATTTATCGATATTTTGATACACCGCATCAGCCTAGTTTATAGATGGCTTAAGGGTGGTTTTAGGGTGGTTTAAAAAAGTGATTTAAAGGTGGTTTAACGGTGATTTACGGGTAGTTAATGGGTAGTTAATGGGTAGTTGAAGGGTGGTTAAGAGTGGTTTGCTCATTTAGCCGTTCCAGTGGTGTGCCTTTTGGCACATCGCTTTGTCAAAAAAGCAAGCAGCAAGTCTTAAGTTGTGTTTTCTACCACTCCTAGGCGTGCAAACTAGCACACAATATTGTGATAACTGACCAGCATGTTGTGTTAAATATCGCCCAGTGTGTTGACTAACACACCATATTCTGCTAACTAATCCATATATTGTGCAAACTGATTTCCATATTCGAGAAAATTACTTTAGATAGGAAGCAGTCGGACACATCTGAATATATACCCAATGTTTATGGCACATTGTATTGCACATGATACGATTAGTCCAAGTTGCTGAAACAATTTTTCTTTCATTTAGTCAGTGGAATCATGTGTTTGTTTAGTGTCATTTTTTCCCCATGTAGATGTCTGAGGGTCATGCTTTCCTGGCCTAATGCCGAGCGATTTCCGAACGTCTGTGATGATCTTAATCAGACCCCTGTCCACATTGCAGCTAGGTTTGGTCGAGCAAACTGCCTGCGACTGTTGCTCGACAAAGGTGGTGACCTGAACATGAAGGACACAAATGGAATGACGCCTATAAAATTAGCCATGAAAGATTCAGAGTGCATGAATGTCATCCTCGAGCATCAGTTATCGATTGCTCTTAGCAGACATCGAATGAAATTGGCAAGAGGTACGTACTTTATCCCAGTACGTTTTGTACTATCGAAAGGGTTTTTGACGAGAAGATTACTATCAGAAAAAAGTAATTATTTCTCTTTCCTTTAACAAAATTTGAACTTCGTTAGAACAATGATGCACTTTAATTGAAACATCAATTGAATGAGGCATTACGGGCAAAACAATAAGCGTTGAAACCATGTTCAAGAAGCTGATTTTCTTCCTGCATGTGTTGTGGTAAGTATGCCATTGTCAGTACTCAAAAATGGCCGAATGTAAGAAAAATATAATTTCTCAAGAAGACAATGAAGAATGGGTTTGTTATAACATTTGAACAACGAGAGCAAAGCTATGTAACTTTGGCTGACGATGCGCGACTTCTTTGTCGTAGTCGAGGTAATAACAGCTGACATTGGCGAGGACAAAAACATCGAAGGTTCCGACACGAGTGACCCTTCTGTATTTTCTATATTCTGCGCCATCGTGCCAACGAGATTTTAGTTTTGTTCAACGACAGGTAAATGACTCCAAAGGAACTAGCCTTGCTCCTTGTTCTTTGGAAAATTTGTGGCGGTCATTCTTCTTTAAGTTTTCATCCAAATAACACTATCACGCGTAGTCTAGATCGAAATATTTCTTTACAGTTAATTTTATCATGATTTATAACAAACTTTTGCATCGTACTGCATTGGTGGTAAAATGCCACAAACACTTATTCGTGTTCAAAACATGTTGATTTGACTAGATTGTATATGGTGTTTTATTCTGTTCACAAAAATCTTTCACATTTTCATTTGAATGAGATGATATATTAATCGAGGTGGTCTACTGCTGCGACGAATCAGGTCGCTGGATTTCATTGTAACCTGTGCGCACGTTTGAGAAAAGCGAGTTTCATTTCGCGATCCTGCCGTTTTTGGAGAACTATCACTACCAGCGTCTTTTTGCGTCTTTGTGTAATTTGTGATATTTTACCATTGTAGGAAGAAAACGTTTAAGTTTTGGCGAAGAACCGATGGCTACTGTCGATCACTCTGTTGAAAAAAGGATCGAAATCGATTGTGCTGATGACAACAGCCAATGCAAGAAGATCTTTTTACGTGGTACGTCCTTATTTTGTTGGTTCAGAATCGAACTACAATTTCTGCTTTTTGATTTAGTTTTCCCGGATGTCAAATCATCCACGTGCATATCATTGATTTGGCGCAAATAGTTAAGTTTTTTGATAAACACTCTCTGTTCCAACGTTGTTGTTTATTTTCATTTTTGCGATTTAACTGCGCTGCTCACTTTCAGTTATAAAGGAGGGGGAACTCGCTTCGAAAGTATAATAATTTGATAAGATTGCAACGTCCAAATTTACAGAGTAGTGGTGAATGCCTGCGATATTAATGTATGCTGCTTTATGTTAGTTTATCGAAACGCCTTTCAGACCTGCTGTTGTCCGTACTTGCCGAGAACTGCGTTGAAGAGAGAGCCGAACAAACTGGTAACAAAAACATAATTGAACTGAGTGACGATCAACATGAACATCTACCAGGTTTGTACTCTGTGTCCACAATTTGTCCTGAGATCTTTTCCAGGCTCTCTGAAATTTCGCCCGTGCCTGTGTCCACGTTAGCCAAAAGCAAAATTCAAATTTTGAAAGTCGACATCACACTAACAGTCAAATACAAATGTCGCGCGCTTCATCCGGGGCTGTTAGTAGAACGTTCATTTGAGAGGGGGGTTGTTCATTTATTCTGTTATGCTCGACCAATTTTTTTCGAAAGCGACTTTCTTTTTAAACAAAACCATCCAGGACCAACTGAATATGTGAATAACCCCCTTCGCAAATTAACATTCTTCTTACGGCAGTACACTTGTATAGCTACATTTATTATAGTTCGATCTATGCAGCCATATTATTTAAATTGTTAGATAGTCAAACAGTAGATGAACTGTGTGCTCATGGTGAAACACGACGAGAGGATGTAGGTGATTTCCATGAAGCCAAAAACATTGTTTCTGGAACGCAAAGCACAACTATTAGTCAAAAAGGTTTGATCTGGGGATCACCATCTCTTGCCTTTTTTTTTACTTTTTCTTTTTCGATTTATGCACGATGTTTTTATACGTTGCAGCTAGGTGGTGAACAAAAAAGTAGCCCCCATAGAAAATTTTCGTTATTGGTCAGTAGCCCGTCTGATTTGTAGAAATGTATAAAATTTAAAAAAAAATTACCGTTGAAGAATAAATGAAACAAAATGTACCGTTAACGATCGACAACAGTAACTTTAATCGAGCAATTGAACGAAGAATAAATATTAAAAACATCAGGAATAATGAGGAGGTCATTCTTCTGCAAGACTAATTTTGTTTTCAAATAGTTTCAATGACTATTCTTCGCATCATGTATTTCTCAGCATTGTAAAATCTTCATCATCATTTGTTGTTTTCGAATTTTTTCGGCAAGACATTTTCGCTTATGTTCTGCCTATGTTTTTCTAAGAGTTAAAATCTGGTATTCGATTTAGCATTGGCACGAACCTTTTGTTTGTGAAATATTTTGAAACAACAAGCCCGAAACCAAAAAAGAGGGTTGCATTGCACCCACTCTAGAGTCTAGAGTTCTCACAAACGTCTCCGAGGTTTGCATAAGCCAGTGCAAACACGAAAAACATCTTTTATGTCTTTTATAAAATAACAATGATGCGAAACAGTCAAATTTATAGCAAACGTTTTAATCTTTCCTCTAACATGTATTCATGATCGATTTGCTAATTCTCTATGGTTGATGGAAACACGGCTATAGAATAATCAGCACACGCGTTTTATTTTTTTATTTTTTAAAATAGGAACTGGAATCTTGCACGAGTCAAGCAGTGTCATCTGTTGGCGCGATACTAACCAAAATGCCGTTGTTGAGAATGCCATTGTTGAGCGTCCAGTAGTTGGAAATTATTCTATAGGTATGCAATAGCATATTACGTACGCCATAAATAGAAAGATGAAAGTGAATTTCTTCGGATGTCTTTAAAACTGGCAACTGTTCCAGGCATGCACCCTTTTAAGGCGTAAATCCTGGTGAGTTTACGGAAGGAACATGTCCCCCCACTTTTCCAAAAATCAATAATTTCATATTAGAAAACTTCTATTCAGTCAGGTATCCAATCCAGCCCACCTTACCCCACTTTTCAACACATATTTGCGCCCTTGGCACTTTTGCATGTTGCTGGTGAGATGTTCTAAAGATTGGCTCTGTTCAACTTTTTTGAAATTTGTCTCCTCGCACGTTGAACTCTTGACATCCCAGTCGCCATCATAAACAAATGTCGCATGATCTGGGCTGCCGACGATGAAGAACCTGTTTCATTTAGCTTAGTCTGCGAATAATTTTATTTGCGATTCCAATCATTTGTTGACGTTTTCGAGCAAACACGAATCCTTTATCGGGTACTTATAGGCTACCATTTTTGTCCACACCACTCCCAACCCTACGTACATATACTGCATAGGCAATCAACCTTTTCGTTGTTTTTTCCTATAAGTCCATCTATTTATGTCTTTTTATGTTCAACAGTCTTTATTGGTGCATTTTTTATCCCCCAATCAATGTACGCGGCTATAAACCCCGCGTGATAGATTGTTCACAAATATATCCTTCAACTCCAGTCGAGTTTTGTGAAATTTTTTTATCAATTTAAAATAGGAACTGAAATATTGCCCAAGTCAAGCAGTGTCATCAGTAGGCGCGATGCTAACTTGGAAAATGCCATTGTTGAGCGTCGAGGAGTTGGAAATTATTCTGTTGGTATATATATTAATAATATTAATAATATATTATTCAACGACGCTATAAATAAAGAAATATATAAGTGAAATACATCGCTGGTGTTTTCGAATCAGGAAGTTGTTCAGAAACTGGAAGTATTGCATTGTTCACTTTTGCACGTTGTAAAACGTTTTGCTGAAAGCTCGATCGAAAAATATAATACAATCCTCGCTTAACGCAAATATAGCTGTGACTTTTCGACTTTATTTCAAAGCCATCCTAAGACAAAATGATATTACACCAATTGTGTATTAAGAAGCGGAAGTACGGAGGTCGAACAAATGAAATTGTACTGTACAGTCTGATCTGTACAAATACAGAATATGAAGAAGTGTGATATTTTCAAAAACTGGTGTAAAAATGTAGACCGAACTAATGGAGTGAGCGTGTGTTGTTTTAAGTGAAAAATGTAATTCTTTACTAGTTTTTAGTCCTTTGTTAAGAGATGGTTTGTTATGTTTAATGAGAAGTGCTTCTAGAAAAGCAAGGATGTGGTAGCTGTTAGATTTGGTTGTGCGAAGTATTTCGTATTTTTCACAGTTTATTGCGTCCTGTTTTGATACGTATTTTGTCATCTCACCATGTCCTGTTTATTCGGAATTAACGTATTTTGAACTCTTTCAGTGCCCTCGAAGATGTTGCCTTATGAAATTTTGGCCAGGGGGGAGGAGGGCGTCAAAGCGTTTAAAACAGCTGTTGCCGAAGGGAAAGCTCAGGCGTCTCGTTTGAAGATCATTGTCGTTGGCAGCGTGAAGGCCGGAAAGACTAGCCTCATACGCTCTCTTTGCGGAGAACCCTTTACAGGAACACGCGTGAAAACGCGTGGCATCCAAATGGCGTCATCTGTCGAGCCAATTGTGACAAGCACAAAACTGGACGAGACGTGGATGCATGCAGACCCGTGTTCGTCGCATTACGATGAATTACTGGCGAGAGATATTTGCTCGAGGTTGAAGGAGAAACACTCCAAAGGAAATGTCCTCGGCTTGACAAATTTGTCCTCCGACCATCGAGAACTGAAAGTGGTGGTCGACGAAGTCGTTGGAGATCTTCCAGGCTTTCAGTCTCCAGAAGGCGTATCTCCAGATGACAAGGATGTGTTTGTTGCTGACTATTCCATCGAGGTGAAAGATAGTCCACGTCGTTATCCTGCCACTTTGGTTGCGAGGCAGTTATCACTCAAATCCCAGGAGAAGACGAGTATCAAGAAAGTTATTTGGGATTTTGCCGGACATGATTTATACGAGCCGATGCATCATATTTTCATGAACAACACAAGTCTGTACCTTGTCGTATTTAATTTGGCGAAGATGCGCAAATCGCTGGACAAGGGCCTCGCCGAGATACATTATTGGCTAAACTCCATCGCCACTCACACATCGTCATCGACTCCTGTTATCTTAGTTGGGACACACAAAGACCAGGTACTGTTAGAGTGCTAGTTGCATAATTCGCATGGGCGGATGGGATGGGAGGCATCTTCCCTTCCAAGATAAAGTGAAAAGTTAGGAAAATTTTCAAGATTAGTCGGGCGAAAATACTGTGGAACCTTCATTGTGAGTTGGGGAATATATTTACTGCCCCCAAGAATTGATTGCTCCCGCACGCTTGTGATGATTCGCGATTTTTAGTGCACAGTGTAGATCCTGCTTGGGCTCCTCTTAAAGGGAGGGAGAGAGTGGAGAAAAGTAATGGAGAAGGTGGTTTGCTTTTGACATTACAAATTGTTTGGGAAATTGTTATACGTGAAATTGTTTTCGCTCGTGTTTTATTATTTAGGGTCAGAAATTTTTTGAGAGGGATTTCCATTTCTGCTATTCCCTGATACAACGTCTGTGTTATTTTTAATAGTTTTAAGGCATTTCGAATTTCACTTGTTAAAGATCCATTGTTTAGGCTAACTGTACTAAACAATGGATCTTTTTTGGTACTCAGGCGTGGCGTTAGAACGTTATTTGCACGGGTTGGTGTTCATATATTCACCTGTGCCCGACTAATTTCTTCTTAAAGTCAATTGACTTTCAAAAAATAATCAGTCGGTCCCAAATGAATAGATGAATATACAGGTAGTTTAAAGTAGTTATTATTCAAGTACAAACAAAGCGATATCACTTTGCTAGTAACCTGAAGTTATAACAACCTACACATTGTAGGAAAATGGCCTCTTAATGCTGGTTATCTACGACTGAACAGACAATGGCAAATTATTGTTTTTGGTGTTATAGTTTGTAAGATATATTGTTTAAACGCAGGAATATCGTCAAATGTTTGTGGATGTTATAGTCGTCCAGGTTTGTGTGAATCCTGAAAAGGACGGTTGGTGTTGACTGATGTTTCCACATCCTTATGAGTTAATTACCTTCAGAGTCAATGCAACACCGACAGTCTTCAGGATTGCACTAATCTGGACGATCTACATTCACGAACGTGCGATTGCTGTTTAATTAATAATATGTGCTTCTCAAAAATGCTAAGTGTTGGGGATACTAATCGTGCTCTGACATGATTATATTGTTTTTCAATTAGGTCGATATTGATTTCATCGAGGAGACTAGAGCGCACTGCGAACGAAAGTTCGATAAGATGTTCTGTGAACGGCTCGTACGCAGCAGTCGAAACCACATCATGTTTGCCGTGGAAAACCCGAAAGGTTCCGAGGATGACGGCATTATTGAACTGAGGGAAACCATCGGTCGCGATGCCAAAAATTTTCATTTTGTTAAACAGGAGCTGCCATTGAAATGGCTACAATGCGAAGAGGAAATCGTGCAACACCAGAACGAGGCAAGTAGCAAGAAATGTATGCATATCGACGAAGTGAGGAATTTTCTCGAAGAAAAATGTAAAACGAGCTTCAAAGAGTCGGAATTCAAGTCCATGCTCACGTTTTTTCACGATGGCGGCCTCATTCTTTATCCAGGTGGGTAGAAAATAACGCGTGATTACTTATTAGGAAGTTTGGCAAATGATCCCTTATTAAAAAGTACATGGTAAATATTTAGCCAAAATTGATTGGTGCAGGTCATGTTCAATTTCAAAATACTTTGATTAAAATGACTATCGATCCTAATTTTCCGAAGAATAATGTCTTGACTATCGAATCGATTTGTCGGTACAACATTTTAAAAAATGTGAGTGTGTCCTAGAACGGACTATTGCAATTTATTTTGACTTGCTCTCACTCTACCACTCAGAGTTGCTATCCTTGTCACGTGCTGTTGTCTAAAACGTCAAGTTCTGGATAATTTTGTAAAATCAAGTGCGTTTGTTTTAAACAATGCGAAATACGACTTGCCGTGTTTGCATTAACTTAATTATGATTTTGATTTAATATTGTGTGTGTTGTTTGTTGGTTGTGTGTGTGTGTGTGTGGGGAGGGGTGGTGGTGTCGAACGCCAAAGCTGGGTGTATGAAAGTAATTTGGGGACCAATTTAAATTTGCTGCAAAATTATTGGGCTGGGGCCTATTGCTCTCAGATTTTCTGCTCGGCGCTGCCTGTTATTGAGACAAAAATCTCTACCAAAACAATTGATTGACTTAAGTTCATTCAACATGATTAATCTTTCGTAGATTGTGCGAAGATACTTATATGTTATCAGTTGCATGACCAGCCTTCAGCAAGCAAACGTATTTTCCGCCTTGTTTGTAATAAAGTATTTTCACTCCTGTGTGTTTTGCGGTGCTCTTTTGTTAGCGAAGGCAAAGTCGTAAGTTGGAAAACTAGCCCATTGCAGTAGCTCGTATCCAAACAATAAGCAGGTCATCTCCAATGGTGATTTGAGAAAGCAATCTTAAAACAGACCTTGTCTTCTCTTCAAATTCAGGTGTCATGTATGAAGAACAAGAAGAATCGATCGCCAAAGATCTTGTGATTATGTCCCCTCAGTATTTGGTCGACATAATGTGTAATATTCACGAGGTTCCGGAGGATAACGAACTGAAACGACGATTTTCCAACGAGTTTCACAAGTTGAAAAAGGAGGCGCGCGTCGATCGTGGGCTGCTGGAACAAGTCTGGAAAGACAAGTCAGAGGATATGGAAGTCCTCATAGAGCTTCTCATTTGTTTTAAGCTGATTTATCCTTTTCATAAAAATCCCATCAGTGATTCTCAACTTCAAGAATCGTCGGAAGCGAGCGCTTCTGGTATTCATTCATCCAACGAGTTTGTCATTCCCTGCATGCTTAAAAAAAAGACCGAAGAAAGTTTCCAAAATACTTGGTCTAAGGCCTGCGCGGATTGGACAAATGCCGAGGAAAAGGAGCATCGTTTTGTATTTGATTTCGGCCGATTCTTGCCGCCTCCGCTTTTCGACTTTCTACTGTTGCATGTTTACCAAGAAAGCCATAGGACCAAAGGAATGTCGCCTATCTTGCGGAGACGCGCTGGAATATTCTCCTTCTCCAATCGGTTTCTCTTTTGTCTGAAACTTGTACTGAAAGATTGTCAAATTTGGGTCCTCGCCAGGTAAAGTTGTTGGTCATTTGCTTCGCGTTAGCGAGCATGCGAACCAAGACCACTTAGAAGACATGTATTATATTAAGTAAAGGTCACTTTGTAGACTTCTTAATTTGAATTGCGTTTGATTGAACTCGTTGAAGGCGTATTAGATTTTTGCCAGAAGAAGATATAAAAGTGTAGAGCTAGGAAAGGATTGTGGTTTTAATTGTCGGGATTTTTTTCCAAGTCATTGTGTATCATTTTACAAAGCTTATCGCGCAAGAACAACTTGTTGATTGGTGTTCCAAAATAACTATTTCTCATCTTCCATTAGATGCAACAAAGGGGAAAAGTTTCGTCATCTGGCTAGAACTCTGAATGAAAAAGTTAGCGACATTTGTCGACAATATTTCAAGTTTTTACGATTTTCCTGCGGTCCGCCGTGCCCACACGAGGCCTGCCCTGGTGCCGAATTTAACGAAGAAGAAATTCAACGTCCGTATGACGCGAGTTCGTCAGAAGGCGAGAAAGACTCCGACTCTGACGATGATGATGTGAATGAATTATCCAATTGTGACGCCTGTGCACAAGATGTGCGTGCGCCCAAGAACCATGCAGTGTGCCAACCTAATCTGCGAACCCATGTTATAGCCATGGATCCTGCGACATTCGATCCGCCATATTGGTGTAAAGCTAAAGAGGTTACTTCCCTTCTTATAGACTGGCAGCCATCGTTTGGTATCCAGGTTTGTCTTGTGTGAACACTAAAATTATTTTTTATAACGTCGATGAATATTGAATTGCTCAATATTCACGTGATCATGACACAATGTCGACGCTTCTACTGCTCTAGTGTTTTCTAAATTTCATTTTTTGCTCCGCATAATTACATGACGAATTATTCTTTTGATTAGTATCATAATTATTACATCACGCGTAAAGTTTGAGGATTAACTCAAAACTTTGTATATTTAGGATGAAGATGTCGTAGATAGTCGGCGCATATGGAAAGGTGACGTTTTTCTTCGTTTCCTTTTAGTAATTATGCGAACCAACGTTCTGCAATGGTCATTCTTGCATCCCATCGTTTGTTTTTGCAATTAACCAGTTGCCCGCAAATTTTAGGTTTTGCTATGTAACCTTCAGAACAGTAGCATTAGCCTGATTTTTTTTCAAAGTTAGATGATTTCGTAGCGAGTAGTGAAAATAAAAAAATTTTTCATAGTAGGAATAATATTAACAGATAGGCTGTTACGTCAAATGCCTCTGTTTATAAACTTTGCAAATATGTTACACGCAAATGAGCAATGGACTTTCTTGTCCATTAGGTTGTTACTATAGGCTGTGGAAGCAATGACCTATAAAACCCAATCTAACAGATGCCTGACCCCGCCGAAAATAAAAAAAACATACTTTCTCTTAGCTTATTTTTCATTGAGAATTTTGCTTTTCGCCTCCCTACGTGATAGGTGCTTGCTTCATCTTGACACGGTTTTCAGACATCTAGGGGATTGGGCTCTAAATCGTTGTGTGAAAGACATGAATGTGACTTTATGTGTTTTCTAGATCGGGTTAACGAATGTTGCATAATCTCGATTGCAAGAGATTTGGGTGATGATTCGAAAAAGTTGGCACGAGAATTGAAAATCAGCGAAGCGGAGATTGAAAATATCGTTCACGATAATCGTGGTCAAGAGGAACACGGTTTCAAGTTTTTGCACAGGTGGAGGTCGAAGCTAGGAAGTGATGCTACCAAATCATTGTTGATCGATGCTCTTAAAGCCATCTCGAGAAAAGATCTCGTCGAGATATTTCAGAATCATCAATGCACACAACCTGGCGGAGCTTCCACAAAGCCACGATTTTAATTCGGCTGCAAGATCGAAATAATCTGATCCAATTATTTCAGTGCATAAATTTCTTGTGCGAATATAGAATACACTGCCACAAGGACTGCCAACAACTATCGGGCTAGATTATGATTCGAAAAATGGTTCGTGTTCGGGTCTAGCATGTGGATAGTTGCATGGTTTCGTCGCAGGGGATTTCATAATTACTTCCAATCTCGAGATCCCTTCACTCAATTCTATCGCGGTGATATTCGTCAAATCACTTTTGCATTATTGTTGAAGATAGCTTCAAAAGTAAAAAAATCAATTTATCGGCCATCGTAAAGATAAAAACCGAAAGTCATCAGTCAAAGATTGCGAGGCAATAAGACAAAATGATAAAGATATCTTTCAATCACACAAATGGCTTTCTCTTGGTTCGGGTGTATGCACGACGAGTGACAATGTGTCAACCATTGGGTTTAGCGTACGTGTGCAAATTGTATGTTCATAAAAAAATCTTGTTGTGAACTTTTAGCAATAGGTAGTGTATAGATAATAAGATAATAGATACTAAGATTTAGTGTTAATAAAGGTAGTAAAACGCTTGTTGCTGTTGAAATATTCTCTAATTAAAGTTATTGTACTATATTGTAAAAGTGGCGGAGCCAGCCTAATTAGTTTGTCTTGCTATTCGTTTCTTATTGTGATTTCTCAATTAAGGAATAATGGTAATATATAATCCGAAATTTACGTGACAGAACCTAAACTTTGAGGCTTGCTTTCGCTATTTAATTGACTTTACAAAATGTGTCATTGATTGCAATACCGAATTTCATTCTGGAATGTTTAAATTATCCTGTTAACATTCATACGATAATGTAGAGCGAACGGCAATACTTCAACAGAATTTTCCTCGATGAGCTCGAAAATTATTACTCGTTGAAATTTAGACAAATAGTATATCTTGGGCTTGCTCGCGGAGACAAATAGTGTACATCTTATTCTGAAATTTGTCATCTCTAAATTCAGGAGGTGCCCAAGCTTTTATGACGATTTCATATACAATGACATAAATTCACACTGACATAAATTCCTGCCTTTGTGGGCAGGGTAGTCAACGAACAGAGGCGAAATCCAAAGTATGTTATGTCTGATGATGTTTATGCTTGAAGCGTGATTGTGTGTACCTTTATTTGAATGCAGGCATGTGAAGTGGAATGTTCGCCCGCTGCGTCTTTTGTTCTAGACGACGCCTCGATGCGAACAAGGAATCAATTTGTTTCTTCAGATGGACATAGCAACGTTCGCTGTCAGTTCCTGATTTTTATACGAAAAACTTTCCACCCTCTGTGGACTCGTATGTGCGTAGAATCGTATACGTTATTTTACAGTCAGTTTTATACTAAATTCTATCGTATATTGTATCGTAAAATTTCATTCATTGTAATCGACAGATTTGGCTTTGGTAGTTCTCGGAAGGAAAATGATGAATTTGAAAGTGGTGTCATTCGTTCATCTTGTCTTCCTTGTATCGGGTAAGTTGTTGGACTTCTGGACTGCCTGCGTGGTATAGCTGCTGGGACTGCTATATATATATATGGTATAGAACTGTTCAATTTATAATAAATATACCCTAAAGCATAACTGACATGGATGAACGCTATATTACCTTTGGCGGTAATTTGCTTTGTTCCCTTAACATGAAGTCCAGTTCCAACAAAAGCGAATAAATTTCTTTACGGCGAAAGAATATGCCTCGTGCCTTGTGGGAAAGCCCATATATCTAGTTTATTTGCGAACAAAAAAAGTATTTCGGTAAGAGAACTTAGAGAAGTAATTCTGTTTGACTGCAAAATGAGTAGTTCACAACTGTTAATGCGCACTTTAGCTTCAATGAATTTTCCATTAACTGTTTCTTAACTGAACAGTTATTATAAGTTATCGACTTTGATCGATTTTAATTTCATTCAAGGAATGAACAGCATGCAGGAAGAAGTACGAGAGAACAATGAAGTCATAGATACAGCATCAATGGATCAGTCGTGGGTTGTTCAAAGTTTCACAAGTATATATATAGCTATAGATTATCATGTGTAAGGACAGCGGTTTCCGGAAAAGGGTGGTACCGTTGCTCCATCGCTTTAAAAAATCTCTTAACCCGTCGTAGTCGTGCCTAGTGTTAATGTAACGTGGCCAGAGGCGTAACTAGAACGTTAGTTAGGGGGAGTGTGTGGTGGTGCATTATTAATGTATTCCGTTGTACCCTACTGATTTCTTTTGAAAGTGAATTGAATTTCAAAACTGAACATATGAATATGCACTCCCCAATTAACGTTCTAGTTACGCCACCTCTGAACGTTGCTCTCTTCTGCTGTTAATCTGTTTAACAAGTGGTCTTTTCCGAATTTAAGCGGTATGGCGTTAATGATTTATCGCCCTGCTCGTGGACAGTGCCACCTAAGAGTAACCGAATCTAGCAACTGGGTTATCATAAATAAAAAAGAATATATTTACAGAATCTAGACAGAGGTAGCGTTTGCCGTTTTCGGGTAGAGAGGCACAAGCTATAAGATAATTTTTGCGATGTTCACACCAAAAATTTTCTTTCATCGGTGGAAAATAAAAAACTCTAGTGATAGATCGCTCTGCAGCTTGAACTTTTTGAAAAGTAATCATGCACAACATTGACGTTTTTATGACTGTCGGCGAACTTGCCCACCATCTCTTCCAAGTTCAAGGACAAGCGCATTATAGATTTTTGGAAGCAATGCGTTCAAAACATGTACCAAAGTGTCGCGGGCGGAACTTGAGTCTCAAAAGATGTATGGAAGGAGAGCTTAGTTGTCCGATGAAAACAAAAAAATTGACTAAACACAAAAAATTAGGACCTTAAAACTAACGGTTTCATATTCATGTAGATCGGAAAGTCATTGAAGGGGAATCCCGTCAAGAGGAGTTTGTTGCCCTTCGTGAACGTCGTGAAACAACTAGCGAGCAAATGAACATGACCGAAGGAAGTTTCAGTGGCTCTGGAGGTTGTAAAGATGGATTTACAGGAGACGGAAAAACCTGCGTAGGTTAGTGTTTCAGTCGAATTAACTTGCACTCTCTCTCAAAGCTGTTTTTGTTCTCACAAGTCGAAGTATTGGTGATCAGGAACGAAATTCATTGATTGAGGAGGGGGGATGGCGATACGTGCTTATGAAATACCTATTTATGTTCTTAACAATGTTAGCAATAAAAGAAACGTTAAAGTCACGAGAATATAAAGAGATATGCATTAATTGTTTTACAAAGTGAACTGTCAGTTCAAAAGTTCTAAGCATTTCAAACATATTTTAACTTGCAAAATTTTCGTTTCATATGCACTTTAAATCAAGAAGGTCTAAAATGCCATTTTTTTCAAATGCATTTATCCAACGTAACTTCAAAATTTAATGCCTTTTAGTCAATTCAGCACCCCCAAGCTGGGTGGGGGGTCACGGCCCATTGGCACCACTACCATCACGCCATTGTTTTCTATGGCAAATAACTTGCAGAATTTTGCAAAATCACTCCCCAGAAACACGGAAAATCGCTATCGAGGTACTTTGAATTTAGAAATTTCGCAGGGGGAGCATTTCCCTTGACCTCGCCCCAAGAAAGGCTCACGCTTTCGGCGTTCGACAGTAGGCCACCTAGTAGTTCATGTCTGGTTGCGCCACTGGAACAAGCTCTGTGGGTCAGTTGATTGTCGAAATATATGCTTAAACACAGAACGTAACGAATCCATGTTATGTACGTTTCAGATATCAATGAATGCCAGCAATCTGCTTGTCCAGCTAATGCTTCATGCAATAATACGATTGGCAGTTTCACATGCGTACCCTGTGATCAAACTTTTTTTGGGGACGGAAAGACGTGCGTGGGTAAGTTCACTTTACAAGAAAGAAACAATGTATAGGTGTTGAATTTTGATTTAACACACTGAATAGTAAAATTCGTTGATACTTTTAAAAACGAAGGAAACAAATTATTGAAATATTTTTCAAGTTTTTGAAAGAACCATGAAATAAAACATCAAATTTATTCCCATGTAACTGTATTCTCACAACAAGTGCAAACGTCACACCAAAATGACTATTTTGTTTGCTTGTGACGCAGCAAAGATGAATGAGAGAATGAATTTGTTTGAAAACTGGCTAGTTTACCGTTTGCAATCTTCATCTGCCCATCTGTAACGACTTGTCTTGCTATCCAAGTAAATTTTCTGTGGATTTGTGCATTATAACTTTAATGTAAAAAGGCATGAACAAATGCAATATACAAAAGATGAAGTTTGCTCGATAAGGACTTTGCAAATAGAAGTTTCACAGTAACAATAACTCGATTTATATTTTTGGAATGTTCACACTCATCAAGTAGCATTCAGCATTATACACTGTAAATGTTGGACAGTATGATTCTCATCCACGACAAAGATTGATTTACTTAGTGTAATTTCGTTTAACTAATGCAAAGCTGTAAGCAAAGCTAGAGAAAGATCCACTTGTTCATAGAAATTCTATTTATTTATGTTTTGTAACCTATGTGCAATGTTATGGCACTCTTCCCAACTCTTTCCTCCACAGAGACTTCGAGTTTCGTGCATGACCACTTGATGTTGCTGCCGCTGATACATAGGAACGCAGGGGAAATGATGTTGAAGACTATGAGATTGTGGTGTTATCACTGCCATCATGCAGCGCTTATTGTTGTACATCTAGTGCATTTATATTACACATGAAATTCGAGGCCTCCGCGGAGGACGGAGCTTGTTCAATGTTACCCCCATAAAACCATTTTTGTCTGTGCTCGCGAACAGTTCTTTTTGACTTGCTAAACGTGTTAATTGTGTCATTATTTTTAGTACTTCAGTTTTCAGTATCGTAAATACATTCAGGGCGTTAGCCAGGATTCGAACTTTTCCCATTCACTAAGGAACGAATGTTGAAGTATATTTTTAAACGTATTCCTCTAAAAGCTCAGAAATTCAGTCAATTGTCGCTTGTTGCCTTGAACTAGCATTTATCTACAAACTTTGAATTTTCAGACTTGATGAGAAAATTATTTAATTTTGATGCAATTCTTTTTTATTTTGCATGTAACAATTTGCAAGTATGTAATAACTAATAAGTAGCCACTCAAATCTCTGTAATGCTGCATGTATTGCAAGGATATAGGTTTTGTTCGCAGCATGTTCGAAATATTGTTTGAATGCCTTTTCCTTTTTTCAATTTGCATTTTTCAAAAATATGAAAAGCTGAAAACGAATAATATTTGCAAATTGACTGTTTTAGAATATTTTTGCCCGTTTCAGTATCCCCGTCCAAAGGGCAGGTGGAAAGACCTCTGGCCCAAGGCTCTGAATACTGTTTCATGTTTACATCACCAATACATAGACGCCCTTTCTAAGAAGAAAAGCACTCTTTTTTTACAAAAAAGTGTTCTTTTTCAATGAATAACTGCCTCAAAAATCTTGTGCCTTCCTAACTTTCACTTGCTTCTTACGCCTCTTAACACGATCACATGTTAAATTGTTGTGAGTCGTCTCTCAACTTAACGACTTTATCTATCTTTACTGCAGAGATTCTACCAAAATTTTCTACCATAAATGTGTTTACTATGCTGGGCGATACAGCGGCTCTTTTTTGTGCTTTGAACACTACAACACAGTGGAAAAGAGGCGGGAAAATCATCACCAACAACGAAAGAATAAAAATCATGGGAAATGCTCTTGTCATTACGTCTCTTGAAGAAAACGACTTCGGAGAATATTTGTGCGAAATTCGAAATGACCCCGGTAAAGGGTTAAGGATGCAGATGAGAAAGATCACTAGAAGCTCAGACGACGACAAGTACCTCATTCCGTTTGTAATCATGTTAGTTTTATTTGTCGTGTTGCTTCTCTTGTCGATTGCCTTAGTGGTCTGGACAAAGATGAAAAAAACGAGAATGTCAGCTGACCACGCTGCCGGAACAGAGGAGTTTGGATTATCTAAAAGTTTCGACAATCCAGTTTCTTCCATTGAAAGCAACAATAGTGTTAATGCTCCTGAAAATTCTGAGTACGCCAGTTTAAGTACTTTCAGAGAAAATGATCCGAAGTATGAAAGTTTGAAGAAGGATAAGTTTCCAAGCACAATGCAATCTCATCAAGAAGGCAATGATCCCTATGTTAACCCAGTTGAACCTCATCCAGAGGGTAACAATCCCTATGTTACGCCAATTGAACCTCATCAAGAAGATAACAATCCTTATGTTACCCCAACTGAATCTCCTCAAGAAAGTAACAATCCCTATGTCAATGCAATTGAACCTCGTCAAGAGGGTAACATTCCCTATGTTACGCCAATTGAACCTCATCAAGGAGATAACAATCTCTATGAAGCCCCTATATAACATTATCAAGGAAGTAAAAATCCCTATGTCACCTCAACTTCAGCCATCTCTTCACTTTAGAAGTAGAAAAGTTGCACTGTCCATCATTTTGTAAATGTATAGTTAATAAAATTTTCTTGCAGGATTTTCAAACAAAAGCACTCAAACAAAGGAATGTACACTGTTTTTACTGATAGGAATATTAGATCGTCGGGGAAGTATGGCAATATGTTTATAATAATAGAAGTTCTACAGATTTTGTGTCGGGGAGTATCATTACGATGGTTTCGAGTGCAAGTTTGTAAATCATAGAAAAGAAGGTTTCATTGTAATCAGTAGTTCACCTGGCTCGCTTATTCAGTCTTGCTGCTCAAATTTTCTCCGTTCACTTACTGAGAGAACAATGAATTACTAGAGAAATAAATAAGAATGTTACGATAAAACTTTGAAATTTACATAGCAGGACTGAAACACACATTTTCCAACCATGTAGCCAGAACAATGATTGGGGGGAGGGGAGGCATATTCAAGGATATATAAATGACATGCCGTATTAGTTTCTTTTGAAATCCATTGTTTTTTACTGATTATAAAATGGTTATATGAATATGGGCCCCCCAATCATCGTTCTGGCTACGTGTCTTTCATTTACAGTTGCTTCATTCCTTTCCGTCCAAAGGAAATCCAGACAAATGCTACAAATCCATGTATAAAAACCTCGCCTTTTTGTGTGTGGGGGGGAGGGGTGTGTGTCATATTATATTAACTAAATCGGCAAAAGAAATTTTTTGTAGCGAATCACCACGATCTTTTAGTCCTACAGTGCGAATTTTACAGCAAAAATTTTTATTCATTTCTCTAGAAAATGTATTCCATTCATTTCATGTACTTCCACTGATTGAACACAACAATATTTGCATTTTAGGAGTAGAAAACGGGCTGGTTTTGCTACTGAATGGAATTTTATCATTCACGCCATCGGGCACTTATATATGCATGACATTTATGAAATAAAAAATAAATTGTTGAATCAAGAAGGTGTAAATGATTCAATGATTAATCATAGGAGAAACAAATACTCTATAAAAGGTTATCGAAATAAAATGCGAATGTGAAGCAGATCGCAGATATAGAATGAAACAAGATGCATGTCTTGCACGATAAAATTCTAACTGAAAATAGTCGGCTGCTGTGTTGCATAAATAATACACATAGCATATTTTAACAAACATACAGCTGATTTTGTTCAGTGATTTGAATCTATTTGTCGGATTTCTTCGCCGTTTAATGATCTTGAGTGATTTTCCCTTTCGAGTTTTCCAGGTCCTTTGGAATTTTAATCTTACGTTTTATAGTTAGATGAAGTTATTAACTCAACCAAACCACTTATACGACGATTCCCGCGAAGCTCAACCTCAAACTTCAATTAACTTTCATCGACACCTGTACCGATTTCTTAAATTGTTCCACTTGAAATGGAATATAATGCGTTTTGACTAGAGCTTGTGATGTTTTCGAGCACTCGATTTCGACAGATTGGGAAATGCTGCTTGAGTGATTTCCCAGTGCGGAAATCTAAAAATTAACTGCCAGCCGTTTATTTTACTCGAAGGACATCATGTTGCTTTTTATCAGTTGATCTTTCGATTCTCAACATAAAATGGAAAAGCGATGAATATTTTCATGAGTTATCTCGTGTACTGCAATTTATCGATAGTCTATCTTGATGACACGCATATTTTGAAATGGGAGATTGTAAGATCGCTAAAGCGGTTCTACGCAGCTTTGTTCTTTTCGCAGGTAATTATCGCAACGAAAGCAAAGCCGTCTGTTTGTTTCGGTTTGATCTCGTATTTTGATAATGAATTCAGAATGGCAAACATTTCGACGTTTTTCATAATTGTAGGAATCGTTCTTTTGAACGCGGCCCAATACGTTAAGAATCTCGATTGCCCACCGGACATTCTTCGGCTCATGGTCGGTAGCAAGTTAGAGTTGAAATGGCACTACGAGATGAACGTTTCCTTTCGAGATTCTTGGAAAATAAATTTGTACGTCCACAAAAGCGACAGCAAGAGAAGGAAGTTAATAGAATTACATCGTGGTCATACAGAATTAAGACCAGGCAGCAATAGTTGGGCAGATAAGATGGATTTGTCGTACACTAGTGCAAAGATCACCGTTTTAAAAACGACGTTTAACCATACGGGAGACTACGGAATTATGTTCGTCCCGTTGAATAAAAGCAAGACTGACATTTTAACGAAGTACACGGTAGTGACCATTGTTGGTAAGTACGGCAAAACTATACGCCTTTGAATGGTATGCTATAGCTCAGCATTGGTTTTTGGCGATGTTCATTGATCAAATATAGTCAAGATCAGTCAGTGTCGTGAGCATGGTCGTGAACTACATGCAGAGGTTGCTCTTGAAGCGTGAGTGCAAGGCTTGTCCATAGCTAAAGATATGGGACTAACATATATGAAAAGTACGAACGAGCAAACGAGAACTAGTTGAAAAATCAAGAATTAATGACAACTAAAATTATTTATTTGCCCGAGTTGGTAGACGCATATTTTTCTCTACATTGTTTAAGATGTCTCAAACAATGTCCCTTCCCCCTACACAAATATTCATCTTTTGTTGAATGCTTGTTATTATACTTCTTGGACAGAAAAGCTTTCATTAGAAAAACCGTTTTGCTTGCTTCTATCAAATTGTTTGATTATAATTAATTTGTCGAATAAATTACTCACACCGTTTATGTATAATTCAAATCAATTTCCATAGGTACAATAATGCTCGAGAATGATTTTTATATGAGAGGGGACAGTTTTGGGCACCCTGTAGAATAATTAAAAAGCAACAAAGACTGAATTACGTCATTAAGTTAAACATACGATTAAACTTATTAAAATTTTATAAATTTGAAAATAAACAAAAAAGAAGGTCTTATTACGTTTTCAATAATTTATTACACGTTCTCGGTATAGAAGCCATCCCGTTTAATACGAAGAAAATTTTTTTACTTTTCGAATGTTTTTGTATTTATTCACTGGGAAAACGACAAACGGAATTAATTTTTTAAAGGAATGCGGAATTATTTAGCAGAAGAATTTTGTTGTGTATTTTTAATAAAATGGATATTTTTTTATCTACGCAAAGTTTAGTTTCAACTGACTCTTTGTAACTTTAAATTAAGACTTCATTACGTTTTTAATTATTGATTAATCGCAATCAGCTTTGCAAAAACGCACGTCCAGAGCTCTTGTTTAACACTTGCATGGTCATAATTAGCTATATATTGTCGAAGAAGCGCCTACACGTCAATCTTCAATGGATAATTCTTAAAAAGCCTTTTGCAACAGAAGAAGTGAGCTCAAATTTTTACAGTTGCGTAAGCTTTGTAGCAAAATTACTCTTGCTAAGTTCGCTTCATTCTGCAGTTATTTTCCTTCATAGTTGTTCAAGTGAACGAACAGAACACAAATACATATTTGTACGCAGCTGAATAAGGTTGTGTTAGATTTTCAATTGCTTGTTTCTTTTTGAATACTTCGGATGGAAATCTGAATTTCGCTTGATGATTTTGATCTATAATTTTGAAAAGAAGAACTTTCAAAGTTTTAGGTTATTTGATGGCAGTTTGATCAATCGTTGTGAACTGAGTCAAGTTTCAGACACAATGGAAAACAGTTGCTATTAGGGTTTGGGATCCTGTTTTTTTACAAAGAGTTTGAAACCGTAATAGTTCGGTAACAGCTACTGAGCGTAATAGTTCGAAAGAGGTATATCTTTAACACAGTTTCGCAAAATTTTGACTTCAAATGAGAAAATCAAAGAAATTAGCAACTGCGGCATTGATAAGGCATTCAGTATATAGAAAACATCAAAACAGTTTATTTTATGATGGCGTATCGTGTGAAGGAGTCTCAATTTTTCTCCAAGCAATGAATACGTCATTATTTATTTATTGATAATTACGTTTTTTGACAGTTTCGAGAGTTAACTCATCCGTTTGCCAGCGTGAGATTTTTCATTAACAAAATGAATATCATCACGATCCTTTGCAAATGTCACAAACAATTAAAAAGTGAACAATTGTACGTGATTTGATTCCATTCACCCTTAAAATTTCTGCTTTACCTGTATTTCAATGTCATATATATATACAGTTAAACACTTATATACACGTGCAGTATATATTTATACTGCACGTATATATGCAAGCGTTTGTTTGCTAAGCGTTTCCATTACTTAGCACTTAGCTAGTTACATTAATAATCTAAGTCGTGATTTACTATGATATTTAATGGGCAAAAATGCAGATAAAAATACGAATCAGATGTAAAAGCCTGATTTCAGGCACCCAATTATGAATTAGATAAATTGTTTTTGATGATAAATTGTTTTCCGCGAGCAACATGTTTCGTGGAAATTACTTGCATAAGGAAGAACTTGAAAATGAATCGAGTGGTTAATTGTTTCAACACAGCTTTATTATATGAAAACTGAAAACTAACCTTTCACCCATTTTGATATTCAACGAACTACAGCATCTAATTACAAAAGACGCAATTGTATGCAAGCCTGATCTCTTTAAGAATTAAGATTACTATTTTAGAAATTGAAAGTAAAAATTTTCCTCATTTTACAAGTTGCGTCTGTGTTAAGTTACTATAGCTTTTAAGAAAGGCTTTGCAGAAATTTTTTAATAATCATCCCTTATAGGATTAACTTGAAGAACAGACTGTAGGCACGCTCCTATACAGTTTTCGTTGCATTCGGTTGGAAGTAGACTGTATTTCATCAAGATAAAACTATATATTATGTTTGGAAGAATGCATTCTGTATCAGTGTAGATTACTCACACTCGCATCCACTGAGTGCGAGTATGAGCAATCTACACTGACTGTATCTGGTAGTATCTTTTTGCGCATCTCATATCATGTACGAGCGTAAATCTTTGTGTTTTGTGCTCAAAAACTTAAAATTGACCATCTTTCCGTATAGACATGCTACTTGACGAGGAAAAATCATCATTTGTCGAAAAGACGTGGATAAATGAACCGGCCGAGCTGGTTTGCGCCGTGAATCTCAAAGATAATGCAGATGCTCCAACGTTCAAATGGAAACACAGTAAAAATGGAACTGTGACAAAAAACGTTTTCAAGGAAAGAGATAGAAGTGTGCTAAAGGTGAATGCTCGAGATGTAAATGATTTTGGAAGTTACAAATGCCAGATTAAGACGGTACACACAAAGATAAAACACAATATGACTCTGAAAAGAATCGGTAAGTTTACAACAAAGGCAGCACGATCTGATCATTTCACAATAAAACCTGCTTTTATGAGCCTTTAATTATGCTTTCAAGTTTGTAACGAGAAATGAAATACAAAATAAGGATACAATTCGCGTCCCAAGTGGCTAAATAAGGAAGATACAACCCATGCCCTGAATTTACGAAACCGTCTTTAGACTAACCAAACAACAAAACCAGTAAAATTTTTCCTCCAAAGTTCTTGGTTTTTAGACCCAAGCTTTAAACTGGCTAACCGTTGTAAGGGTTTATTGGTTACTTTATGATCAACTAACAAACTTATATAACAATGAAACTGCCTGATATTAATTATTTCTAACCACTTTTCTTCTTATGACCGCGTGATGTCTTGGTGCATGACTTACCTAACCATCAATTTGAGAATTTGTTTTGACTTTAAAAAGTCTGGCATTCATAAGATAAACGTTCAAGTAAGAAGATGAATTTGAAGGTGTTTTTTCCAAAAGGGACACACAAACGAAAAATTATGAATGTCTTGATACGTATACTCGGACACCAATGATATCCCAAGCCCCCGATGATTAAGTGACTGCAGGATACAGTGTGATCTTGCATTTTTAAAGTGGTATTTTACGCTTGTATTTTTGTATAGAAAAAGAGATTAGCTCTTCACCTTTCAAATAATATATTTTTTCAATTCATAACAATCTGAAATAGCTAATAGAATTGAGTGCAGTCGATGAGGGTTTTCCTATACCATTTTAAACAAAAGCTATGAAACAACAAGTTTTACTGTCGATTCTGTGTCTCGTATCTGTCCTTGATTACCTACAACACTTGTATTCAATTCCAAAATGTGGAATTCTGAATTGAAATTGCTATTTGAGGAGTACTTGATCATTTGTTATTGTTATACAATGAAAAACACATCATTGGAAAGCTAAAGCCTGAAGAGCTTCTTTTTCATCGATATGTAAATATATGCGTAAAACAAAATATCAAATGCACGATAACTGGGTAAAGTTCGATATACTTTTTTCATAACTGCATATGCCACAGGTATCATTTAACTTTTGTACACCTATCATTTGTTTGTGTATGTAAACACGTGACATTGCTTATCGTTAATGGAGAACGTGCGGTATTTAAACTGGAATATTTCTGTTTTATGAGAATACCCCGGGTATCCGACCGAAATCGTCTTCTCCCGCAAAAAACTATCGTGGCTTGCACCAATGCGATGGAAGTCGGTGTTTTCCGTGCAGTATCTAATAAACAAACAAAAGAAAAATTGGATGGAAGTTGGTCGGACTTTGGAAAAGACTGTTCACTCGAAATCTCTGTCAAAGTTTCTACCACACGGCGTCCACTTCTGTTGCGTGCGCATATGCATCAACGTCACAACAACGTTGCAAAACAAGATTTGTTCTCCGGGCAAAATGGTTGAAGACTCTCCAGGTTTGTGCACCTCAAACGATGACGAAAATATATTTGACGTCGGAGGTGTTTGTGAAAAACTCCCGAGTATGTGCAAGCTATCAATCTTAGGTCTCGAATTTGTGTACTGATCTGCTCTTGAGTCCTCTCACATATCTCCACTCGGTTTCTTAATAAGCCTGGGCAAACAAATGCAGCAAATATCTTTCATTTCTTACATGACAGTGCCTATGTCACCCTCAGAGGAAATAATCTACGTCTTATAAAATATATTTCAAATGTTCTTAAAATAGTCAACTCCATCTGAATAGATAATTTCCCTTCGAATGATACGGGCACTTTAGGTGAAGCCAGATTGCTGAAAAAAGGTCTCCACACTATTATATAAAGCTTTGGCTGTAAAAATCTTTGTCAACATCATGTAGCTTCATGGCCAGGGTAGAACTGGGTAGAACTTTTCTTAAAATTTAAAATACAATGAATAATAAACATACCTCTTGTTCATACAGGGGGTGGGTGGACTAAAAGTATTTCCCCAAATAAAATAATTGTCATAGGTTCGTATTATAGTATAGCTCGTCATTCTTAGAGAAACCTTAATAAAACAAAGTCTTACTGTCGAAGAATATACGCGACAAAATGTTAAAATCGTCAACTATAACTTTGACGATTAAAAGAAAAAGGAAATTTAAGAAATGGGGTTTTTTTGACGTCATGTTATTGTTTTCATGGGCTGAAGTAAGTGCCGTGTATTTTGCAATAAAATGCAACTGTTTTCGTGTACGGATCTTTTATACCTTGGCTCAAAATGCAGTTGACGACAAAGTTTTTTAGCTCTTTGTCGACTTTCCTTTAGATTTCCTAACAGCTTTGTAACGACCAATATTATAAAGTACCATCTGGTTTTCGAGAGAACTCCAACTATCACAGAGACAGATGATTTTATTATTTTAGCAATAAAATTTTCTATTCGCCGACTAAAGTAAATCCGTTTTCAGTCTCTTTGCGTATATGCCTGCATTCAGATTTTTATGTAAACATGAAATTTATTGGAGGATACCCCTCCCCTTGAAATTTAACAATCTTCTGACATATTATCATGTACTGTCTATGATCACAAACTGCTATCTTCATGCAATCCGAGTTTTATTTTGAATACCAAGAGCAACCTTTCACACGTATTTAGCTAGCATAAAGACACAGCACAGTTACTGTATTTTATTGCCGAAGGATGAATTCATGTAATTCTGCTCGTAATTCTAATAGATGTATCACCTCCGTCAGCAATACATTTGACGTACCATGGTAACGAAGCGATACTAACATGGTCTCGGAGTGATTATAACAAGAAAGACATACTTGGCTATGTAGTGCAAATTTTCCACGGCTCAGATTACAGCAGCAAAAGTATGACATTAAAATATCTGTACGAGAAGCCAGAAAGAACGAATATGTCATTACGAATGTGAAAGACATGGAAAATGCCATCTTTAGGGTGTGCATTCGTCGTTCCCTTTGCCTCTTTGAAGAATCATGCTCCGAGAAAGTTAGCCTTTCTTTAGGTAACTGTGCTATTTGGCCTTTTTGTAAAAAATCTAGGCCTGATGTTGTGCTGTTTATTATCTTTATAAAGCTGTTAAAAAAACTTGTATGCATGTCTGTCCATTCGTACAAAATATTTTTCTTTGTTCTTACAATATTGATATCTTCTGGCTTCGACATAGAATAGGATTTAGCGTGAATGAATGTCTCTATGTGATGCGCTATAGCAAAAAATTTAATTTTGAATGATTTAATAAAATTACATGAATGTGGCTAAAAAATTTAACACTTGCATAGTGCGTCGATCAACCTTGTAACAAAGCATTTTTATTCTCCGCGCAGTTCTTCCGACACAGCCAATGGAAATCAAAATCGAGTTCCATAATAAAACTGAAGACATAAAAGTATCCTGGACACAACCTCGAAAGCTTGGTAAGGAAACTTGCTGTACATTGTTGAAGTGCAGAACGAAGCAGGTGCCACAATAAAGACAATGTTCACACTCGAGCAAACCGCTGTACTTAAGTTACCATCGAAGGTACATTATGTCAAAGTGTGTGCCAGAAGCGACGTCAATGTTCTTCACAAATCTTGCTCCGAAAGATATTGTAAGTTAAGTCTTTAGGTAACTAGACGCGATCAAGCAATTTATTAATCACTCGTGTGTGTTCGAGAAAAATCACCATGCCATTTACCGAGATTTAATACATTGTATGGTATCTTATTTTTGCAAATGATGTCCCCATGAAAAGTGACAGTGCATGTGTATCAAGAAACTGCAATCTTGCTAATAATTTGCATAACAACCATGCACCGCCAGTAGCATACCACTGCAAACATGTGACATTTTTACAGTTTGGAATTTTAAAATCATTGTAATTTCGTGCGCTGAGTAATTTAGAATAATTCGGTGCAAATCTTGTTATACCGTATGGTAATAACCATGCAGTTTGATTGTAAATGGCTCAACAAAACACAGAACAATGAGTATTTATTGTGCTAAATTACGTACAATAGCAAAGTAGGGTATTAGCTACCAAAGTGAGAAACCTTTCATTTTACAGAACATACAAATTGATTCCATATATGAAATTACGCTTCCTATAGGGGATCAATTATTGCCGAATCATGTAAGCTCTGAACATTGGTGATTTCAAAGAGTTCCAGTTTTTAATACTACCTGTTTAAATAAAATTGTAGAAATTTTATGAGCTCAATCTTTTTTAGTATTTTTTTCGATTTTTTTAAGTATTAGGAAATGCAACAGAAGAAGGTAGCGTTGTTGGTTCAGGAAGACATTCAACAATTTGCTGTGAAAACATGATTTTTCTCATCTCGATAATGATCGCAATTAGTATTTGCTAACATCCCATGCACCAGTTGGGCTTGGCACTATCTCCCAGCTGTCTCGTGGATGGGCTGGAACACCTATAGAATGAATAAATAATAAGGAGATAAAATTCGAGTGAATATATTTTACATATACTTTTATAAAGTAAAAATGTTCACACAACCTGGCAAATCATTAACGAAATACACTCGGTCATGAAATATTGGTAAAATGATAATTTAACCAATCTACAGCAAAACTAACTTTTATGTTTTTTTTATGTAAGCTAGCTATATATTTCAAAAGATTAAACATATAAGCTAATTCTCTTAGCTCACTAGCTCATTTTTCTGCAATTGAGAAACGACTATAACTCCTTTAAAGGCTTCAATAACGTCAGATATAGGTTATAAGTGAAATTAGAGTGATAAATTTATGATCTAACAGGTTCTTGTAAAATCGAAGATATACTTCAGAAATTCATAATTATGTACTTGGAATCAAAAATTAAAAAATTCGATGTGTAGTAACTAGAGTAAACATGCACTGCTTGTAAATCACGTCACGAAAACATTCGCCTCCATTTTTCCAAGATAATAGACCAGGGCCAATTGAGATTAAAAAAGCAACAACTGAACTTCTAAGTATAGAACCAGTTTCCCGAGAGTACATAGCTAGCTACATAAAGTGGCAGATCTATTGAAGGTCAGTAAAATAAACTAAAACAGCTCATCAATGGTCTAATTATTATTCAATTTGGAATACCTGATAAAGATTTTCGTTGCCATTTCCTGGAGCATCAAAAATTAAACGATTCATTCGTTTTCCATGCAATTAACTCGGGGGCATTCAATCTCAGCTATTGTCGAAAGAAATTAATTTCGCAGACGGCAAGAATAAGAAGCATGGAGGCAATTCGGTGAGTTGCTATCGTAATATGCGAAATTATATGGCGACAAGGGAAGAGACATAAATTAAGAGGGAAAATTTATCTAGGTTTGAATATCTTGGAAAGGCATTTTATAGTTTTACAAGGTTGTTTTCCAACCAAGTAAAAGCCGCTTAAGACGCAAGTGCGTTTTATGATCTGGCATAAAGATGAAATCGATCATAAGTCGTGATCATTGCGAAATAGATATAGCTTACATACTGTATAATCGCCAGGAAAATTTGCATTTTTTGCTTTCCATGCAAGTAAAGGATCACAGCAGTAACTGTTGATCAAACAGCATGGTTGCGATCAGGACATTAAGAGAAATTAGAGGTCAAGTAAAGAGACTGGAACGCATGTCTATTTTTTATTTACAAGCTGCATGCTCTTATACATGAAAGATTTAACTTTGAGATGAATAGATGAGCAATATTCGATTCAACTGAAACAAAGACTTTATCATGCTGAGTTGTTTCGTGACAATTTGAAATAATTTTAAAATGTTTCGGGCTGTTTCAGTTATATGGAGATTTGTTTTGGAAAGTTTTAAATATATAGTATAAATATATATACATAGATACGAAAAATTTGTTTGTGATATCCTACAAAGGGTTCATGTAAGCTTGTTAAACCACCTAAACTGAAAAGTTATGGTTTTTTTCACTGAGAACGAGGGACATTTTGAAAATTTCACGAGTGCAATGCATTAGCTACATAGTGACAAAACCTCCTTCATTCAATGACATAAGATATACATTACACAAAGCAGATGCCTTAATTTTTTAGAAAAGCAGTATAAGCATGTTGCTTATAAACTCATCGCGTTCTTGCTCGTTATCGATATTGATTCTGTGTAATTGTGTCACTCTTAAACATAAATTCGTCATCTTCATTATTGTAACCTCAAGTTCTACTTCCAATGTCTTTTCCACAGTGACACCGTCTGTAAACATTCAACATCGATAGTGCTGCTGATGTCTCGTAAATATTACCTTTCATTCTTGCTAATAATTTTTTTTGACATTGAAATTTCTTTTCATCTCATCCACTCTTCCTCTCCCTTTTTCACATTCTCCATTGCTCAGAACTATTAATTGAGAGTAATTAAAATCCACACGATTTTTATCTCTACTCCTTGTGCCCTCCCAACTACACACTTGCTCTCATTTACACATGCATGTTTTCTGTCTTTTGGCAGAAATTCATTCTCCCCTTCGTAGGGCATAACTTCCCGCCTCTAGAATACATTCTTCTTACATCCTAATCTCATAAAATGTGACTATATGTTATTCTCGAACATCATAGTTTATCTGTGAGTTCTGTCTATATTCATCCAATGATGGTTAATAGTTGCATTAACTAGCCACATAACGCCCTTAGGTAATCTAAAGGGGGCGTACGTAAACCCGCAAATGGGCGTATGTAAATATCAGAGTACAAAGGGAAAACGCAGCAATAATTTAATTTTTAAGACAGTCGTCAAGTAAGCTATTTTTATTTCGTTCGGTGTGCTAAAAGTGTTACTTCTCTAAAGTCATCCCTGAAGGATAACTACAGTCCCAAAAGTTCAAGAAAGAATTATCATAGGATCCCAGGTATAAAGAAAATTAATGAAAGATGAGTTCAACTCCACAGAGAAACGATGTAAACTATTCGGATGATGAAAAATCAGAATATAATAGCAAGAAAAATGAAGCGTCTTTTTACAAATGCTTACGTGACAGTTGGGTTACAAGTATTGATCGCATTCAGCATTTTTCGGTAAATATGAGAAGTGAATAATTATGTCGTAATATAATGTCAGTAAGTAACATTTGTAGTTTGTAGTTTCACTTTTTGTCCGAAAGTATTTGTTCGCTATTTGTTTGTGGACAGGCCGTTTACAAAAAACACGCAGAATATTTGCCAATTTTGGTTTTGTAAAATAAGAAACTACCGCAGTAAGTTTTAAAGTCCAATCATTCTGTGCTGCGTTCATTGTATAGATGAATGGCATTATGTCACCAGAATCAGGGAACACACAAGAATCCATGAACACACCACAACTGACAAGTACTCGCATATCTATCGACACCATTTAAAATCACCTTAATGGAAAACTATTCGCTGTCTTGCTTTAAAATCACTAAAAATCAAAGAAGCCCTTCCCATTAACAAAACTATAACCCTAATCTCAACGTTCAAGTTTTTCGTTTCAACACTATATTCAGTTTATTTATATGTACTCATAATTGTATAAACAATCACTGTATCATATACATTTATCACATACATAACACTTTTTATTATACTGAAGACGGCATCGTGAGATATTGAAACATATTTATTTTTTTAAAAAAATGTCGTATTTATTCAATGCGCATTACGATTTTATAAATGATTGTAATTAAATAAAATCCCAGCACTTCAAACTTCTTTGATCCTCTTTCAATAACACCATTCCTGGCTGTTAGGTTTCACTTTGTACTCAAATTTCATTTTGCTGACATGCTTTATTTTGTGGTCGAGTGTAAAATACCTTCATCTTCAATAATTCGTGAAGAAAATTGGCTGTATTGTAGCACAAACAAAATCGCTTTCTTTCCCCGTTCGTGTTCTTTAAGGAACCCCAAACGTTTTCCAGGGAAAATTACAAATATTCGACTTCTTTTGTACCTATAAAACAATTTTCCACTGTAATTTTTGTTCAAATCCCCAGGTGGTCAACCATCTTCCAAGAAATATGCGCGTCTTGTAAGGGTTTATTATAGAAATACTATCGCTTTCGGTTGTTCAATAGATATGCGACAATGAGTATAAAATCTTATGATCAGGTGATCTCACTGATTTTGCCACAAAAAATGCTTGTTTTCAAATCTCAGACCTTTTGCATATGTCCTGCTTTGATAAGTTTTGTTGGCTTCGTTTTGCTATGTCTAATCTGTGAATATCAATATCATTAAAAAGTGTTGCCTTGGCCTTGCATCAGTTGATTATGCACGAAAGTCCAGAAAAACAATGAAATAGAAAATTGAAATGAAGCTTTCAAATTTTTTTTGAAGAGTGGATATTAGCTATAAACGTTCTATAAATTATCTGTAATTCAGTCTGTAATTCTGTATTATATCGTTTGCTACTTCAATACTACACTTCTTTACTGTTCTCATTTCAGAAAGTAGAGTTGAAAGATCTGATCGGGACGTATTTTTTTTCTCGCTTATAAAAGCCTGTCATAAGCGCGAAAGCATCAATTCAGTTGACATTCTCAACATTTTTAACAAATGTTGTGATCCCGACAAGGATGAAGAAATACAACTCGATCTGAGTTGTCCGGTATGTATTCTTTCTATTCCCAACACGCTTCACAGGATATGTAAATGCATGTTTACATCACAGCTCGCACCAAGAATCCTTTAAATTCGTCTGTTACTATTGACTATATAGCTGCATATTAAAAATCTTTACTGCAAAAACTGATCAGTACAAACATAGCAAAAACTGCAAAAACTGATCAATATAAACTAGCCTTTATAAATACTATCACAATTGCCGCAAAAACGTTTGTTATATTGTTGTGAATGAGAGATATTTTTATTCCTTGCAACCATGTGATTGCTAGTTAAGGTAGACTAATAGTTCGGTAAGTTTTATACCTATAACAGTGAACACTAAGAATGTTTAATTTCTTATTTTCAATTTTATGATAATAGCAATGCCAACATATTATAGTAGAACAATTTGCGAAGAAAGCTATGCATGAATAATATAGTTCTACCATACTTACACAAGTTATACATAGGGTTTTTTTAAAAAACTCTAATCCAAATTAAAATCAAGCTTTCGCTGGAATTTGAGCACGTTGATTAATATGTTGAACGCACGCTTGCGTAAAATTGAAAGCGACATCTTAACTTAAATGCATGTATGTAGGTGTGATTTTTGTACAGCTTGTAGGAAATTTAATTGGCACACTGTATGGAATACCATTCATACTTTACAATACATTCGCCTGTATGCTAAATATGAACAGACACTATTGCTCTTAAGAAACGTTTTTAGCTATAAGGTTGAATAGTTGTAATGTCCTAAATTTTTTTCAAATCTGATATGTTTATGCTTCATTTAGTGGTCGAAGAGAAATTTGACTTTGAAAATACGCTACTGCACTTTACTTAGTTTCATTGGTTTTTCTTAACATTCATCATTTTCCAGAATTCAACTCAAAATCTTAATCAAGATGTCGGAGAATGTGATAACTTACCAAAAGTAAGATCTGATGCGAATATATAAGAATACATTAAAGCATCATTATATTTATTCATTACTTTGTCAAAGATGTCTCAGAGTTCGATATTAAGTCAGTTTGATGAAATTGTCTTGAGAAAATTATAGAGATGCACGAAAATAAACTCCCGACTTCACGCAGCCAAGAAGAAGCCGTCTATTCGATGACTTGTGTCGTATGAAATTTAAGTTCACCCCAAATCATTTTACATCATTTAACTTCGCAAATTAGGAATTTTACAGTATTCATTGTATCATTCATGGCGTTCTTAATCCAACCCTCTAATGTCATGTAGCACTTTATGAAACAAAGCAAAATGAACGGATTCCACTTTG